ACCAAACATAATGACATGTTAACCCAACATAATGATATGTTAACCCAACACAATGATATGTTAACCCAACACAATGACATGTCAACCCAACACAATGACATGTTAACCCAACACAATGACATGTTAACCCAACATAACGATATGTTAACCCAACATAATGACATGTTAACTCAACATAATGACATGTTAACCCAACATAATGATATGTCAACCCAATATAATGATATGTTAACCCAACACAATGACATGTTAACCCAACATAATGATATGTTAACTCAACATAATGACATGTTAACCCAACATAATGATATGTCAACCCAACATAATGACATGTTAACCCAACATAATGACATGTTAACCCAACATAATGGTATGTCAACCCATCATAATGGTATGTCAACCCATCATAATGACATGTCAACCCATCATAATGACATGACAACCCAACATAATGATATGTTAACTCAACATAATGACATGTCAACCCACCATAATGATATGTTAACCCAACATAATACAGACATTGAAGATAAGACAGTCGTTACTTTACACATGTTAAGTTTGGTTTTATATTGTAACGTCCTATAAACAGCTAAGGTCATTTAAGGACGTGCCTCCATGTGTTGTGTATGCGTGCTTGCATGAATGTGTGCATAAGGCAGGGTATGTTGGTTTATTTTTGCCTCCTTGTAATAGCACGATTGATTGATTGGTTGGTTTTACGTCCGCTTCACTACCAAGTAGTTCGGTTATCCAGCAGACGATAAAAGCGCGGATCTGTTGCCGACTTTATAGTACTATCTCACTGAAACACCATGCCGAAGGTACCCGACACAGCATTCCGCCCGGTCACATTATACTTACAACAGGTAAACCAGTTATAGACATAATGTAGTGGAATGGATACACAATATTTATTATTTGTTCTCCAGTGTCCACTAAGCATTAGACACTGACAAAAGTACCCCATAATCTGCAGGGATGTTGGATATATAGACAATGTCACCTTAATTTTTATATTTTAGAATACACACGCCGTAATGCGCGTGTCGCTTTAATATTGTGATATAACCATGGAATAAACAGACCGTATCGCTTTGTTCTCATCATATCATTGACGTCATTGTGACGTTAATTTAAATCAATGCAAATGAGATAACGGAATTGAGGTCGGAAGGCCATGGGGATCTGCCAACAATCGCATACTGCCTGAACTCAATATGGTCAGTGACTCAGGTTTTATGCCTAAAGTCAAATTGGATATGTCTATTGTGTTATACTTTAGTCAATGAAGAAATGTTTATGAAACTGTCACACAACAGATTACAAACCCCAACCCTTATACCCAACCCGGTATATAAAACATAGAATCAGATTAGATCTAAGACTATGATAAAACATTCAAAATCTTATTTGTATTAAAATACCACATATACTCAATCGCATACTTCCGATGTCCATTCATAAACATATTTATGAGACCCAATAAATGTTTATTCTTAAATTACTTTGCAACAATTTCTTCGAAACATTTAAAAAAAAAGTCAAAGAATATTAATCACTCTTGTTGCGTCAACGTCCTCGCAGCTGTTTGGGAAAACTTTTTACGTCAATCATTAATAATAGACTGATGTCATTTGATAAGAAATACAGTAAGATAACTGACGCTCAATTTGGATTTAGAAAAAATCTTTCAACTATAGACGCTATATTTGCATTACAGGCCATAATTAATCGGAGTCTTAAACATAAGAAACGATTGTATTGTTGTTTTATTGATTATACAAAAGCATTTGATTTTATTAATCGACAAAATATGTGGTTCAAATTAATAAGGGAAGGAATTGATGGAAAGTTATTAGTGTTAATAAGGTCTTTGTATAATAACGTAAAATGTTGTGTTAAGTATAATGGTTCATTATCTGACTTCTTCAATTGTGTAAACGGATTGTTTCAAGGGGAAATTTTGTCTCCATTATTGTTTTCATTATATGTAAATGACTGTGAGATGCAATTTTTAATTGACAACTGTCCATCGATAGAAATTCAAACTTTAAATCTGTTCCTGCTGATGTACGCAGATGACATGGTAATTTTTTCGGAAACACCAGAAGGCTTGCAAGACATGTTAAATTCTTTAGAAGCATTTACAAAAAAGTGGGATCTAACGGTCAATACAGATAAAACAAAAGTGCTGGTTTTTAGAAATGGTGGTATTTTAAGAAACAATGGAAATTGGACATATAACGGATGTCCTTTGGAAATCGTAAATGAATTTAATTATCTAGGTATGTTGTTAAATTACAACGGCACTTTCAGAAAAACACAGCAAAAAATAGCAGATCAAGGAAGGAAAGCTTTATTTTCAGTTATGAATGTATGTCGTAATAATTATTTTAATATTGAAACCCAACTATCAGTATTTGATACATATGTAAACAGTATTTTGTGTTACGGTTCAGAAATATGGGGTTTTCATAAAGCCCCGGATGTTGAAAAAATACATATTATGTTTTGTAAAAAATTACTCGGTGTGCGTAAAAATACTTGTAATGCTATGGTCTATTTAGAGCTTGGTAGATATCCATTATCACTGCTGAGGAAATTCAGAATTTTTAAGTATTGGATAAAGATTATAAATACTGATAATTGCATTTTAAAATCATGTTATGAAGACATGTTAGTGCGTAACGACAAATGGGTAATTAATATCAAGAATGAATTATATAGAATAGGTCTAGGTTACATATGGCAAACAGATAACATTGATAATAGCTGTTTGATTATAATTAAAGAAAGACTTTTAGATATTTATAGACAAGATTGTATAGAACAAATTAGAACATCATCAAAAGGATTTTTTTATACATGTCTTAACAAAGAAGTTGGTATACAGGGTTATTTAAGAAAATCGTTTATGAAAGGTTACTTAAAAGAAATAACAAAAATTCGGCTTTCAGCCCATAATTTAAATGTAGAGAAAGGTCGTTATCAAAATATTCCGCGACTTTTAAGAATCTGTACCGCTTGTGATATAGATGATGTCGAAGATGAATTTCATTTTATTCTTAAATGCCCCTGTTATTCTGATTTACGTGAGAAATTTTTAAAAAAGTACTATTGTAAAAAACCGAGCATGTTTAAATTAATTCAGTTATTTAACGGACAAAACACAAATGAATTAGCAAAATTGGCCAAATACATTAAAGCTGCAAATTCAAGAAGAGCTTTATTAACATAAGTAGTTATGCTCTCCGAGTGTTTTGTCTCGTCTGTGTATTTATTAGTATTTTCGATATTTGTCAATGTTATGAGAAAGTATATATATATATATATCATGTATATGTGTTACACTGATGAGTCGCAAGACTCAAAGTTAATAAAGAACTTGAACTTGAACTAGGGTCATATATGAGGACGTGTGGCCCGGATGTAAGCGTGTGGGTGGTATTCAGGTGGGAAGAACTGGAGCACCCGGCGAAACCAACGTGGTCGGGCAGGTGACCCAATACCTTTTCACTAGTCTCGTTCAACCACGTGCTTAATCACTCGTAGCTTGCACAGACAACCTTTTCACGAGTGCATGTGATCCAATACCTCTGCACATCCGGTCAGGGTGCCAAACACCGCATCATGCATGGTGAAAGACGAGTGCACTACCCACTTTGTCACAATTAGATGGTGTAATTAAAAAATCCGCCGTAAAGACATTAATATGATAAACTTGAAGAATGACAAAACAATAAAATATCAGTAAGATCAGCGTAACAAGTAAATTATATTTATTTCAGTGTTATTGACAGGGATTATTTATTTAGTTACAACATTGCTTGTTGCACCCCCTTGTCCCCATACACGATAATCCAGAAGTTTTGCTCACTTACGCTCTCCACACAGAGTAAAAGTGAACGTAACACCAGGAGTATCGAGGATGCCTTGTCCCCCGACCAAGTTCCTGTGTGATTTGGTTTGGTTTGATTTAGTATTGTTTAACATCCTATCAACAGCTATGGTCATTTAAGGACGGCCTCTCCTGTTTGCAAGATACATGCGTGTATGTTTTGGGAGGCTGCGATATGTTCGTGTTTGTTTCCTTGTGATAGCGCTGAACTGATGCCGACTTTATAGTGCTACCTCACTGAAACAAACTTCCGAAGACACCCAGCAGGACACCCCACCCGGTCACATTATACTGCACCGGGCAATCTTGTGGTAGTATATATATATACTAAAGGCTGTCATAGTAAACTTGTTCTGTTCCTAAAATATGTATCCAGTTTTCGTCCTGTAAAAGTGAAAGCACGTGAGTTCAACTTACAATGATACCATCCTCGAAATTCCTTATGCTCTTTGCACTCCTGAACCACAGGGACCTGATCATTTGTTACAGCTATATCTGGACCTTAACTAAGGTGTTCAGAGTAATGTTACATGTTTTAGGGGTTTAGATCGACTTTCGGTAAAAATGACACCCCCAATGATCATATAAACCGAATGACACCTCCAATGATCATTGGGGGTGTCATTTTTACCGAAAGTCGATCTAAACCCTTAAACATGTAAAATTACTGTGGACACCTTAGTTTAGGTCGCAATATAGCTGTAACGAATGAGCAGGTCCCTGTGCCCTGAACACTACCGAGTAGTTCGGTTAAATCAAGCAGACGAACGGTAAAAATGCCACCCATAATCAATCTAGCTAAGCCCCTAAAACATGTAGATCCGAATATGGCTGTACAACACATTCTCAGGTCCATGTGCTATAGTTTGATCCCTTGATGTACAAATCAAAGGAATTGCGCGGCAGCTATAAAATAGCTAGACGGAAGCTTTGAAGTCTGGTTTCTCTTTCTCTCTCATCTTCAACAAAACGTAAATTTCTGAAAGTATTCAAATAGCTGTATAATTTGTATAGTTTCGTGCTTGCAGTTTTGTCATGACATATTACACCTGCAATTAAATGATTAACTTATAGTAAAAAAAAACATGTTTGTTTGTAGAATGTGCTTCGGTGTCCAGTTTAACTCCAAGCACGGGGAGTGAAAATGGAGGCTGCCTGGTGACCATATATGGAAATGGCTTTGCCAAAAGCCAATTTAACTTCGGGGAAGGAAACTCGAACCTTGGTAACACAGTCTCGCTTGTGTCCGAGACCCAGCAGTTCAACTGCCCCATACATAAGGATGGTACCAACGAGAAACAGATCCAGTGTACCACTCCGTGAGTATGACGTCACAATACTGTACCACTCCGTGATGAGTATGACCTCATAATGTCTCATTCAGGAACCGTCGGCACTCGTTTACGGAAAGTGGCGATGTTCCCGGTTGTACGGAAAGTGGCATTACTGCCGAATTAAATTCCCGGACTGTCGACCAGTGTTACATTTTTGGGTCGTTTGGTTTTTATCAGTTTTATCACGGAATTAGCTAAGTCCGTGGTTTTATATGGCGAGTTTATAGGGACATCCGGGTTCCACATCTAGTCTCAGTAGTTTGGGAACTATTTATAAAATGGTGGAATACTTTAAATTTGCATAACTTTCCTAAGAAAGACGAATAAAAAGCCTTGAATTTCACAGTTAAATTCATGTACGAACTTATCCTCGAGACTCCTGGAGTAGACTGGCTCCCTCCCGTCTCTAGAATATATATATTGAATTAGTTAGAAAAAAAATAAACTCTAATAATTTTGGTCACTTGGATATCTGATTCCCAAGTTCTAAACTAGGAGGAGATAAGCTAGTAGTAAAATGCAGTTGAGAAATTCTTCATAAAAACCTGGAGCTGCAGCGCATCCTCGATATCCAGGGGTTTCGCTCACTTTCGCTCTCTGCACCCCTGGAATATTTCACAGCAAAATTGAGGCTCAGTGTGTACCACCTTGTTGATGAGACAAGAATATTAGTTCTATCCTTTGATGTACATCAAAAGAACCTCGCGGTCACGTAACGGTAAAAAGTGTCAGGCGTTGAAGTCGAGTGTCGCTCCTTTAATTTGTAGTCTTCAAAGGACAGGTATCAGCCTAGCGATTGGTCAGTTGTTGTTTTTACCTGAGACCAATCAAACAGCTATCTTCGTGCCTTCGATTTTGCTATGAAATATTCAAGGGTTGCAGAGAGCGAAACCCCTGGATATCGAGGATGAAGTGAGCGTAACCCCTGGATATCAAGGATGAAGTGAGCGTAACCCCTGGATACCAAGGATGAAGTGAGCGTAACCCCTGGATACCAAGGATGGTGCGAACCAGTGACCCCTGATATCGCTCTGACAGATTTGTGTACGTTAACGTATGGCAAGCGAAGTTGTCATTTATGCATGGAGCAATGTTGATCCAGTACTTAACAAAATTATATAAGATATCTTATATAATTGAATAAGATATCTTATATACTTTATGAAATATCTTATATACTTTATAAGATATCTTATATAATAAATGAGATATCTTATATATTTTATAAGATATCTTATATACATATAAGATATCTTATTTTAAGTTTATGAGATATCTTATATAATTTGGTGAAGTACTGGATCAACATTGCTCCATGAATAAATGACAACTTGGCTTGCCATATTAACGTTATAGACACTGATCATAGGGGTCACATCCTCTAATACTTATATATGTTTTACTTTTCTATCAACAGACCCTTAAAAGAAGGCACTTACCGCGTACGAGTAGCCGTGGATGGAGTCGATATCGGTGAAATCAGTAGCAACATTCAATTCAGTGTAAGTATCTTATCAAGATTATACAAGGCCAAAAGAAATATTTTGTGTTTCGATAGCTAGCTAGGAATATCATTTTATTGTTTATTTTTGCGGATCAATATCATGCTCTATATCAAATTTTACACTATGCTTATTAAGTTGTCAAAAGTGGGGTCAGGCTTCGAAAAACAGGGATAAAATACATTTAAATGAGTGACTTCGAGCTTTGCCTGGCCAATAAATTAATATTATAAGACTACAAGGAGGTGATAAAATGTTTCAAGGTTGACGGGAAAATATAGGGTAGGTTGGGATATCTAAAACAATTTTTATGCCAAATTTGAAACAGGATTTGAAGACTAAAATGTTCTTGAATTTATAGAATTGTCTTGAAGAAATAGTTAAAACTAGAAAATACCTAACAATATATTGAAATTTTAATTTGTCTAAAATTCCGTCTTTTGATTGTTTTTAAAAAGAGTCAGGTAGCTTCTCTGTTGCGTTCTAATTTTGGCAGTCTTTATGTGTTCTGTAAACTTGTAAGTTAAAATGTGAATACTGAAAAAAAAAATTGTTGGTTGCACCCTTCCCATTTATTGTGTTCCCCTGTCTATTAAGGGATAGACTCAAATATAGGGAAAACACTATAGCCCACATGTGAAATTTGAAAACAGTGTCCAAAACGTTCAATTCATTGTTTCATTGATGAAAAAAAAAAATTTTTTTTACTAAAGAATGCTTCCATTTTAGTTTTGAAATTAAATTATCTCACAGTTGAACTTAATTGATCACTTATTGATCGTTCCTTTGATTAACCAATTTATCACATAGCTGACCATTTTACTATGTCAAACTGATATCCGGGCAATAAATTTGATTAATGTTCGGGGTATAAATATATATACACTGTACTGTATACATATATATCTGTCTTTATCTTTTGGGCCAGTTTTAAATCCTCAAATACTTTTTCCAGAATTAATAAAAACTATGCAGATTCCAAAAAAGTGTACACAAATTTCACATGCTTTTAGCAGAACTTTCTTCATTTTGATTTATAAGTAAATCTAATCTATTAAAATCATTATTTTAGAAATTAGATGAAAAATAAATACAAAGTGGGAAGGAAAATAAGGGAGAAATTACAGCTTCAATACCTCATCAGTTGTTCAAATGAACTGACATTCATTGTAAATATTCATTAATTAAATTAAAATTTCTTTAAAGACTAGCAGCGCAAACACACCAACGATCACGTCTGTTCAGCCTCGATCTGGTCCACCAGGTAAGTTGATGAGCTTTCAGCCGTTTTTAAGTTTGTTCATTTTTTTGGGGAGAGTTAATCAATGACAAAAAACAGTAATTGACAACGTTTAATTTATAAAAAATGTATATCATTTTTATGAAGACCATTTTTTCTTCCCGAACATTTCATTGTTTTTAGTTAAGACAAGTTCACAGTTTTATAGAAATATTTGATGGGACACAAGTTGATGAAGTCCTTTCAATATGATATTCCATATTGCCCATACACAAGATTGGAAATTGAAAAAAACAGATTACCCGTAAAAATAAATATTTCAAGGCAAACAATAACTGATCTATTGTCCTGTGATGTTATATACATGCTGGCTTATCTTTTATACACATGCTGGTCAAATATTTTCTGAACTGACCTGGCTAGCTTTGTTATATGATAAGAAGACTAATAGAATCTATGGGTGTGGTCCCTTGGCAGGGAAATCTCAATCCTTGGGTGAGAGTTGGGTTGTCAAGTTGCCGAGTGCTGGACAACCAAACACTTACCCGAGGATTCACGGCCTGGTTAGGATTTCCCTGTCCACAGATCATACCCATGTTTGATTCAATTCTCAATAATGTTAATTCTTTAGGGGTGATGAACCCTGAACGTGAAATCAGAAATTCATGTTAAGCACAACATTGACAATATTCATATTCAATAATCCAACGACTCTGATATATCAGTAAATTTACTTTATAATAGTACAAAGTTACTGAAAATTTAACAGTCAAAACAAAAGATTTATCTGTCACGCTCCAAAGTTCATTCTTAGAATATTATTCACAAACATGACTGTGTTGGTTTGATTTAAGGTACGATTGTAAAGTTATGTGGGAAGATCTTCACGGACATGTATGGAAGTAACCAAGAGGAGAGTTCAAACGGGAGAAAAATCTTCATCAAACGGTGTGTATCCGTCATTATCTCAAGTTATAACACGATCAATACCGATATCCATATTATAATGTAAAAGATGTGCATTGATTAGGTTGCCTTACAAGCGTCAGTAGATTGGCCCCTGTCTCTAGAATATTGAATCATTTAGAAAAAACAATTAACTCTGATCCTAAGTTCTAAACTATGGGGAGATAAGCTCGTAGTAAAATACAGCCAGAAAATTCTTCATAAAAACTTAGAGGCCGGTAGCCAGTCTAAAGCATCAGCTGTAGGGAATTTCCCTTTAGCTCAGCAGTAGAGCATCGGATGGGTTCGAGCCCAAGCGACGGCACTATCTTTATCACTATTCGTCCTCCTACTACACTAACATTAAATTATAGAATTTCAGGTCAGAAACTCAGCTCTTTGTTATTCTTGGATGTAGCCTTGAAGGTCAGCAATTTCAGTTAATTGTGCCATCCTGGTCAACTATAAAATGTCTGAAAAAGATTTCACCCCTAAAGTGAATAATTTTGGATTGAATTATCTACATGTATTTCACCCTTAGTTACCCCCTATTGACTTTTTCATTATATAAACATACATCTTTTAGCAGCTGACTGACCTTTTGCTAGCTCTGTAATTGGTTAATCTAAAACTTCTTTGGAGCTGTTTACCGGCCCCTGGATCCCACTTTCGATTTGCCTCCTCATTCAGTTGGGAATTTGTCATTGGTTACTGTACTTGATTTTGTGTTGATAAACATTGGCTCGGGCAATCTTAAATGTAAAAAAGGTACATTTTTAACAAGGATCTATATAGTATCCTTACTCAAATGTGACTAAAAATGTTCAATTACCACTCAAGGGGAAATAACTCCTGCCACTTAAAAACATTGAATTCCACTGTGGTAGCAATACTGAGGGATTATTAAGGAGAAGAAGACAAATCATGGAAGATGTTTTATAAATACACATGATAAAACAGATTCTGCATATTGGAGAACATTTTCGTTGAAATCCCCACCTGTCTATAACCATATATAATATTTGCGAGGCATGAAAAGACTTGTACACCCATGCCACTAGGTTTAGCCTCACATCTTGTCACTTAATAGTCCTTGTTACATACCTTGGCTAATATTGCTTTCCTCTTTTGATATATATATATATATTGTATTTAAATTATATCAAAAGTAAAATTTCTGGTGAGCTTTTACAGGGCCCCTCCGCCACTTGTTACTGACTTGTTTTTTTTGTTTTTGTTTTAGAGTTTATGTTGGAGGCCAAAGCTGTGAGCTGAAAAAGGATAAGGATACTCTGTGAGTACACATAGGCGATATAAAATCCTCCCATTTCTGTGGGGGGAAGGGGAAGGAAGGTTGGTTGTTGCCAAAAACTATTCATTATGAAACAGTATGTACACGGAGAATAACTTACATATGATAAAAAAAAAATGTTGAATTTATTAAATGTTCTTGCAAAATTTATCAAAATATGAATTTCTGATTGCTGGGGTTAATATTAGACTTTGAGTATAATTAGTTAAGATAGCCATTCCTTAATTACCAGAACATTTTTGGTTATTTGAGAAGCTTTCAGGAATAGGATTTCAAATTTGAAGGTTAATCATCTTGACATAATTTAAGATATTAGTTAACACTTGAACAATGCCATAACTTATATCACAGTTTTACTTTATGCACAATTTAAACAATGTAGGTATTAAACGTGTCGCAAGTTTCAAGGCTGACTTACTCACGGGTTCCTTTGTCAAGCTATGACTAGCTATTTTTGTAGATGTAGCCAGAAATAATGAAAAACAGATAATGACTATCGGTCATAGCTTGACAAAGGGACCAGGTCAGGTCTTCAAACGTTGTGACACGTTTAATACATTGTTTGTGCATAAAGTAAAACTGTAAAACTACGTATTATCAAACTGAAGAACCTTACAGGTAAGAGAAAAATGCAATAACCTGCTAGTAAAAGATTGAGGCATTGAACATTACAATGACCTCCATACTATTGTCTCAACTTTTTATTCCCAAAGGCATGGGATAGATCTTGAAGGCGATGAAGGTTGCATGAAATGTAAGATCGACGTGAATGGCACCAGAATAGGTAAGAAAATCCCTGACCACTTGTTGGCTTGACCATCAAATTGGTGAAGGTGTTCCAACTGGGTGGGAGCCTTGGGCGTTGGCAAACTGATCTCGCAACTAACAGGATTAGATCTTTGTTAGGTTTGGCCAATCAAAATGGTTAAATTCTGAAATATTTCACTCATGAAATTTTTCAAACAATCAAGAAATATCAGTTTATTTTGGTAGTTACATTCTTAAATACAGTAGTCCCTCTATACTGCCTCCCAGCCAATTAAAATGGTCAAATTCTAAAAGATTTCACTCATGAAATTTCTCCATCAGTCAATTAAAATCTGTTTATTTAGGTGGTTAAATTATTAAATGCAATAGTCCCTCTATACACTGCCTCCGATTCTGTATTTGCCAACCCCGGGGGCACGCTTGGTCATGATTTTGAAATCCCTACTTTATGAAACCTTGTTAATACGATTTATATATATCCATACTGACATGTCGGGTCATACAGGAGCTGTACCAGTCAAGTTCTGCCAACGTAACTCTGTCGATACATACACGATCGCAGTGGGGAAATTTCTGTTTTGGTAAAGTTTCTGAAAACTACATACCTGGTATCTACAATACATTTATATACATGGTTATAGATCAATATACGTGTGTGGATATTTTCAAGCTAATTTACTCAACACGAAAAACACAATCATTTGCAGTATGTATGCTGTATCACAGTGTCTATATAGTCTGAATACTCAATTTGTACTTAAATTTATTATGATAAAACTATTTTTTTTGATATAAGCTAGATTTTGTGATGCAGATATTTGAACATAGCATTAATGAACATGACATTGTTTTGTTTATTTACAGGGAACCTCAATACCTCATTCATTCTATCGGGTGACTATGGCAGGTGAGTTTAAAAGATTTTACAAAAACGGAAGGGGCTCAAGGGCTGGGAAATTTATCACAGTTTAAGTACAAAGGCTTTATATGGCACCTCTGAAAGTGGATTTAGACCAACTTTTTGTGAATCATTCTTTGATCACTTTCAGCATACTTGCCAACTTTTTGAAATTTCCATGGGGGAGATCACATGTCCTCAGAATGTAATGCATAAATAAAATGTGTGTGTGTTAACCCTGGAAAGAAAAACACTGTTTAATGGAATCTTTTCAGCTGTTCTCTTCATAGAAACCATCAGATCTTTGAAAATAGGAATATTTTATCAATTTCACAATTTTAGGGTCCAAAATCAGGAGTCTCCCTCCAAAATAGGGAGAGTTGGTAAAGTATGACTTAACCCCACTTTTAAAGACATTTCATTTCCCAACTTGGGTTTTACTCCTTTGAAATCAAATCTATTAAACACTATGTGCATTGTGTGTTGTTCACTGAATTTCAATCAGGTGACGTTACTGAACATGTTCACCCCTGGAATTTCATAATGAAATATTCCAACCTTTGAATTGGAAGAGTTCAAATGTGTCTTTAAGGGTGAATCAGTAAAGGCTCATAGGCTTGTTGTTTTATAAGACTTCATTAACTCTTAAAATCTGATGCCTTTGAATTATGTCATGAACATTATTTTTCACTTAGTCCTGAGTGTATATATGTGTCTGACATATACGTCGGGTGTAAGAATTATTTTACCTCCCACATCAAGACCCATCGCTTTCTAATATCCTGGCCAACAAGAGTGAATAAGTTGGAATAACTTGTTTCATAAATGTTGTAAAATAAAGTTTATTATGGATTCTATGCTCTAACCAGTTTTCCTGTAACTCAATTAAATTGTGTGAAACAATCAAAAAGTTAAATGTAAACATTGAAAACAATATTCGGCTTATAAAGTATTTTCAAATGTTTTCTTTATCATTGAAAAATTAGATTTTTATTATTAATTTTAAAACTGAAACAAGAAATCAGGCCTGAGCAGTAAATCCATGCTTGAGCATGAGAACGGTTTCATGAATGCGGGCCCTGGTAACAATGAAAGATTCTTCTAATTTTATCTGTATTTCGTGTCAATTAAATCAACTTAAATTTTTAGTTTCAATTTATTTATCTTTCTTAAGATCCAAGGAATTTTTATCTTATCATTGAGAATAAGATTATAAAGGTTGCTGTTTATTTCTTTGCTAAAGATATGATTTTGATTAATCATGCTTCTTCAGGTCTAAATCGAACGGCGACTATGTGGTCAGTAGGGACCAGTTATACATGTTCCAGACCTATTCCGGTGAGTATACAAATTATATCCATATGTAATCCAAATTTACAGTAACATCATCTGTCCGATGCTTTGCCTTCATCCTAATTACTGTCTTTACTGAAAATGTTTCGCCCAGGTAAATGTTTGGCCTTCTTCGGTATAATCCATATTAGATTCGTCCTTCACGTTTAATATATTATATATAATATATGTTCATTATGTTTTCAATAAGAATCATCAGTTTGGAAATATGTGATATCAAAGTTTAACTTATCTGATAGGCGAAATGTCTCGGGTCAAGTGACATGAACAATATACAATTTCGTCACATTGTTGTACAGGTAAATGACACAACTCGCTCACTCAGTCATAGCTTGACAAAGGGCCCGGTCGGTCTTGAAATGTTGTGACACGTTTAATATGTACATTGTTTGCGTAAAAAGTAAAACTTTGATAAGGCGAAAGAGGTGAAAATTAAACGCAGTGAAAACTTACCAGTATACAGTATGAATCGGATCATGTCTGGATAATATCCTAATATTCATCTAGATTATATTTTAAAGTTGAAATATAAACTTCAGGGATATAGCTAGTTTCTCAGGTTCCCCTAGACTGGTCTAAGTTGCCAAGGTGAAGCAGAGTATCAGGGTTAATGCTGTCCCCCTTATTTAAAATACATGCAAAAATTCTCTGATCAAAGTTCATTTATCTTTACCTCAATCAGCAAATCTTGGTTTAACATCACAGCAATAATAAATAATAATAGACTTTATTTAAATTTGATAACACATTGAGTCAAGGACTCATTTTACATGTGGTCGACATAAAATATACAATATTTACAGTAAAAAAAAGATACATACCATACATGCATACGTAAAATACATTAGGTTAAGATAGTAGCATATCACAGGTAAGATTATAGTATCACAGGTAAGATTATAGTATCACAGGTAAGACTATAGTAAGATTATAGTATCACAGGTAAGATTATAGTATCACAGGTAAGATTATAGTATCATAGTATCACAGGTAAAATTATAGTATCACAGGTAAGATTATAGTATCACAGGTAAGATTATAGTATCACAGGTAAGATTATAGTATCACAGGTTTGGGAAGTCAAGAATATGTCACATGTGTAATTATATAACTAGTGAGTTGATAAATGACATGCAAAGCATAAGTTCTCATGATGCATTTTAGAAATTAAGAGGCACATATTGTGTCTAATATACATACTTACCACCGCAAAGGGTAATATCTGACATACAAGGTACATATACTGTCAGTACAACTGGTACTGTACATCAGATGGTTGGGTGACCTGACAGGGAAAGCATTAACGACGCCAGCCCCCTTTGGCAAAATAGTCACCAAGTGTACCATTTTATATCAATAATTAGAATTATATCTGTTTAAGTTTTATGGCAAATTTGCCGTTTTGCGAGCATCAATTTGAAAACTGCATTTAACTCGTTCACCCCTGAAATTTCACCATGAACTATTCCAACCTTTGAATTGGAAGAGTTCAATGCGTCTTCAGTGATGAATGAGTTAAAGTTGAGGTTTTGCAAGTTATTATCTACATCACCACAATAAATTCAACATTATAAAATACAAAAGACCGCTGTATATTCACAGCTGGTGCATATAAGCCTCCGATGCTGGCAGCATCATGACTAGCTGCGGGAAACGTAGCTTCTATGTCCAATTTTATTTTAGTCCGATAACAATAAAAAAAAAATAAAAAAATAATGGACATAGAAGCTATGGTTCCCACAGCTACATCATGGCATGAACATATATATTCATTGCAACAATGTATCTTTTTATGAATACACTAATGTGGTAATGAGCAGCCACCTGGGATTCTCATTCTCAATCTTAATTACCTTAAACCTTGCGGTTTATCAGTTCAGTGCATATATACAGTGCAAACTTTACAGTACAGATATATACAAACAAAGAATTTACTTCACTCTGACCCTGCATACATGATAAAATTACAGGGGGGGGGGGGGGGGGGTACAGTTTTAACCCTTCACCCCTAAATAAGGTTGATAGACTCTACCATGCATTGATCTGGATGGATCCATTTGGATCTACAGTGGTGAAAGGGTTAACTGACCCAATGAGAGGGTAATAGGCCAGTCAGGTTCAACCAGAAAGTGGCTTTGTGTAAAAAATGTCTAACTTTTATTATACAAATAAAGAAGGAGCTTGAAAATCATAGTAAATTTATGATTTCCAAATATCAGGTCTTCCTGAAATTCATTTTTTTTAATTACAACTTCAAGAATTAAGAGTTATACGCTTTTTCTTATTTCTATTTATAGGTTAAATTTTCTTACGTACTGTTACTTACATTATCTTGGCCAATATTTATAAAACTGATCAAATGATTGGTAACTTAGATAAAACAGTTCTATTATTGCCATTAAGGTAATAGGATTAAGTCACCATTTCTCAGAAGAATTTCTTCAAATTTTGTAGTTATATTGCTTTAAAGTAAAGAATATTAAACATTAGAATTTGCGGAAATTGTGATACTGTCTCCCTACATTAGATTTTCAACTAGGGATGTACTTCCTGTTTCCATTTATCAATGCACTCCAATGACCTTAAGTTGAGTTCAACTATTTCATAGGAGTTATTCCCCTTTTCCATTTTTTATGTGGGATCAGGTGAAATAATTTCAGCCTGTGCATTTTGGTATGTCAAAAATATCTGCTCATTAGATTTTAAATTCAAATAGACCAAGGCCTGTTGGAGTCTGTCGGAGTGAGGCTGTTGATGTTAAAGGCTGTTCAGCACTTGGACATATCTTTGTTTTGTCTTCTAGAGATTGTCTTGGTCAGCCCTAGCTCCGGTAGTGAGAAGGGAGGCACACTTATTTCCATTGAAGGAAATAATTTCGACGAAACTCTCAGCAAACCAGTGGTGATGGTTGGAGGTTAGTAAGGCAGAGTCATAAGTGTATACAATCATAACATGTGTAGGAGTCCCGAATACAAGACAGTCTGGGAAAGTTAAGGTAATATCTGACCAGGTTAATTTGCTCAAATCAGTCATTGTTATCAAATAAGTGCAAATGCGACATGATTTTTAGACAATTGACCAATAAATTGTCTTGTTTTGCTTGCTACCCTGCAAAAGAATCAATAAGTTGTTTTTTCCCTGTAGGTACGCCTTGTACAGTAAAGGGTAATGTGACCAAATCACTGATAATGTGTGAGACAGCAGCCAAGCCAACATCAATACCTACCCTCAAATCAGGTAATTAATATCGCAATATGATATAAACTTTATTTATTTTATAATAATTATTTAACAAGTGCTGTCAAGGTATATGAATCACTTTTGTTGGCAGTGTTAGGGGTGTTTTATATATAGGCCAGGGTTTTTGCTAGGTGTTTATAGGGTCTGGTACAAGGACCCATTCCCAATTGAAAAATGACCCTGAATTTTCCCCAATTTCAGTCTTTATTTTCCCAATTGGATTAAAAAGCATGTTTATACCACAAAGTTTCTAGTCGTGCAATGTTCAAAATATTGACATCCATGTAAATGATTGAGCATTCAAAATACATAAATAATGAATTTGAAATTGAATAAACAGAAACACTTCCAGTTAATGTGTTTATTCATTGCTATGCATTATGAATGAATAGCCCCAAATGAGAACCCAATTTAAAAGCTGAAAATAAATGGAAATGAACACTGAAAAAGTAAAGGCTAAGTTTGTTTTGAACATAGACACTAATTGAAAACCTAATTTGGAAGTGTTTCCTTTGTGTAGAGCCTTGAGTTTAGTTTTGTACTCATTGCTTGACAAAGGAAACAGATGTTTTGTAAAGCTCGCCAAACAGGTTTTCAATTGCTGTTTGTGTTCAAAGCAACCCAAGCCTGCACATTTTCAGTGTTCATGTTCTTAACTTTTGTAGACTTCACAGCCTATGAATTAGGTTCTCATTTGGGACTGTTCATTTATAGTGCCAAGATAGCCATTATTATTCAAAAGTTCAACTTTGAAACAACTATGAATCTAAAAAAAAATGCATCACAACAGGTCGTATTTTGGGAATGGATCTTTTGACAAAGAGTTATTAATAATTTGTTTGCAACAGCGACATCGGTAATAACAGAAATTTAACTTGTTCGTACACTGTATATAATTATAACCCTTTACCTTAATAGACAGCCAGAACAGGATCTCCAGTTATCTTTTCTTCTTTATATACTATAATCAGTTATCTCCCTTTATAAGCAGTCTATTTGAAGTTACAGGTTGCAAGATGTAGTAATTTACTTCCTTATAAAACTACATCAAGTTAATTCAGCCCATTATAGGTTGCTTTAAAATATCTCCCTTTGGAAATTCAAGTCGTTTATGTCCTTTGAAAGATTATGTCATATTTTCTCCCATTTTAGCCAGTCTTCAAATGACCCTAGCTGTTGCAAGGAGGTTAAAGCCCTTACAAACAAACTACCATTTTAGACAGTGCATGGATTAATCTCCTTGTAGGAATACAAAGAAATTGTGTTTTATTTATATCCTGCACCAAGTTGTTTCCCTTCATAACCTGCAAGTTACCTTCCTCTGTAACCTGCATCAAATTATCTTCCTGTAAAACTTGCATCAGGTCATCTCCCTTTGTTACAAACTTGCATTTAGTTATCTTCCTTCATAACCTGCATGAAACTATCTCTCTTTATAACCTGCATCATGTTATCTCCCTTCATAACCTGTATAAAGTTGTCTACCTTTATAAACCTGCATCATATTATCTCCCTTCATAACCTGTATTAAGTTGTCTCCCTTTATAACCTACATCGTTATCTCCCTTCCTAACCATAATAAGTTGTCTCCCTTTATAACCTGCATCATGTTATCTCCCTTTGTCAAAAAACCTGCATCAATTAGTACTCATCATTTCTATTCTGCATCCAGTATCTCCCCTTGTTTATAACATTGCTTGAAGTTGTCTCCATTTAAAGACTAATTTAAATTATCTGCCTTTGTTGAGTTCCCTTAATCCCTTCTAAGATCATTACGATGTTGCTGTTTCTGCTAGGTAACCGTGGTCTGAAATATGAGACTTGGAATAAGACTGTTGCAGCCCCATCTGAGGGGAAGGACTTGGACAGTTCTGAAGCTGACTATTCAGGTAGTTTGGATGCTGCACACTATGACGCAAACGCAGGAGGTAGCGGCAAAGCAACCAGGTTGAGTGGATTTTTCGCCCCACCCATTGAAGGGGACTACCTCTTCAGTCTCCAATCCCATGGCGCGGCTGAACTCCATTTAAGTACTGACAACGACCGTGCAAACATGGTAAGCATCATAATCGTTCAAATCTATAATCACATCAATTTTTCCATTTAAACAATTCAAACATTAAAAGATTTTCAAGTTGTAGAATTTTTTTTATATGGTCCATTGACTGATGTGTGGTTGTGTTGGTTTCCGCCCATGCACAGTATAATAACAGGGTTTTTCCAGCTATTTTGGGAAAGAGTCCCTGAGCAGGAATTGGGAAAATATCATTGATATTTGACAAAAATTGGGAAATTTCATCAGTGTCCCCACATGTACAGGTTTGGCAAAATATCATAAGTTTTGAAAAAATAAAACTTACAATACTTGCAAAAGGTTTTCCTTTAGCTGTTTCTTCAGTAAGATGTAAAGCAATAAATAAATGCATCAATTTTCAGTGGTTTTGTTTATTCAATTTTAAGTTTTTGTAATTTTAATGCTTCTTCCTGGGCAGTAATACTATGAACGTTGTACATATAATGGTTGGAAACTTGTATAAACCTGCTTTTTAATCCATTTGGGAAAATAAAAACTGAAATTGGTGATACAACATGGTCTTTTTTCCAATGGGAATGGGTCCCTTTATCTGACCCTATACACACCTGTCAAAAATACCAGGCACCAAGTAAACCAGAATATTTCAGTCCAAATTTTAGTAAACTATTTTCAATTGCACTCAGATTCCTACATCACTACATTGATGATCCTACAACCATTGTTCCTTTTGTACTATTTTCCTTCCAACACTAATCCATTTCATTAATTAATCGTCCACCACTAATTTAGTTGTCCCACTATCTTTCCAGTACTAATATGGTAATCCTAAAGTCTTAATATCTAGTCACCACTAATCCTTAAATATTAATATCTAGTCACCACTAATCCTTAAATAATAATATCTAGTCATCACATATTTATAACCTTAATATCTAGTCACCACTAATACTTTAACCTTAATATCTAGTCACCACTAATCCTTAAATATTAATATATAATCACCACTTATACTTTATCCTTAAGATCTAGTTACTACTAATCCTTTAACCTTAAGATCTAGTCACTGCTAATCATATCTTTTACTTATTTTTTTATATGGAGGATACTTATGTAGCTTCAGAAGTGTTTCTCATGACTTTACACATATAATAGATGATAAAAGTGTCAAGCTTTAAAATGAAAGAAGGGTTAATTAAATCTCTTTAATTTGAACTTTGACCCGGAAGTGTTTGTTTTGTAGGTGAAGATTGTTTCATCTCAGGCTTCAACTTCAGTCTCTGACAGAATTACCCTATCAAAGACTAACAAGTGAGTACCAAACCTCCTACGCTGCCCTACTGCTCCCCTCCCTCCTTCCTCATCCTCCTTTTTTCTCTCTCTCCTCATCTCTCTTTAACCTAAACATTATGAAATTTCGATCAAATGTAACATGCCTTGATTTTAAGCTGAAGACCAGGTTGCAATATTTGTGTGCTTCCCATTTCCTTGAAAGTTTGAGCGCAGGCTTATTATGTCTTCCCTTCGAATGAAGGGAGACATATTGTATTAGTACTGATTCTCCTTCTGGTTCTTCTTCTGGTTCTTCTAATCTGACTTGTCCGGGTCATAAACCGTTAAAGATATCTTGATCAACCTTAAAGTGTACCTGCATCACCCACAGAAAGTGTGCAGTGCACTAGAATTGGGTCTCGTGCTTGGCTATATACAGAGTTATGGCCCTTTGTTTAATTTTAATACCAAAGTTTGTCTGGCGCATAAGTTCCATGTTATTTCACCTACGTTGACCAAACTTACCATAATTATGTATCTTTGGAAGAAAGAATCTCTCGCACTGGAATCGGGTCTCGTGCCCCACTATATACAGAGTTATAGCCCTTTGTTTATTTTTGATACCGAAGTTTGTCCACGGCATAACTTTCCATGTTATTTCACCTACGTTTACCAAACTTGCTATCATAAAACAAGTTATGTATCTTGGGAAGTAGGAGTGTTGCATTCTTAAGTTGGGTCTTGTGCCGCACTATATAAAGAAATATAGCGCTTTTATTAATTTTGTATACAGAAGTTTGTCTGCAGCATAAGTTCCGTGTTATTTCTCCTACGTTGACCAAACTTGCTATATATATATAGTATTTTGGGAATGTGGAGAGTTGTGTGCAATGTGACCTTTCTATTCTTTCAAATATGCATATTGGCAAATAAGGGGAAACTTTTTTTGTTTGTTCACAAAAACAAATTTCTAGTTGTTTTGCAGGCTGGTTATCGACAAATCTTAAGTTATCCGTACCATGACTGGCAGCATTTATTTAATGAACATCTATGAGAAACTGGAAACACATATACAGTTTATCTGGTCTACACAAGATATTAAGTTGTAAAAATAAAAAGCAGTTATTTCTCACTTTCAAAATATGTATTTGAATATTTTTTAGCATGTTTTTTGTCTCGCCGCCACGAAGTAGCGGAAGCGAGACTAATTCAAATTATAAGGTGTTGCTTAAATTCCGGCGTCGGCGGCGTCAACATTAAGTTTTTGCATTTAAGTAAATTAGTTTCTCTGAAACTATAACTGCTAGACCAACCAAACTTGCACCATATAGATATGCATCGTAGGTAGTACATCTCAACCCATGCATCAAATGCTGGATGCGGCCCTGTACCTTTCATGGTCCATTGACTTTGTCAGCATCTCCATCAATATTAAGTTTTTGCGTTTAAGTGCTGCACCAACCAAACTTGCACAATATAGATATGCATCTTAGGTAGTACATCTCAACCCATGCATCAAAAGCTGGATGCGGCCTACCTTTCATGGTCCATTGACTTTGTCATCATCTCCATCAACATGAAAATTTTGCGTTTAAGTGCTGCACCAACCAAACTTGACATGTGCATTGCTAGTCAAAGTGGGGCACAGGCGAGACATATCAGTTTGAATGGCTTGTTTGTTAACATAACAGTTTATCCATGTTTCATTGTGTTGGTTCCTCTGCTCCATCACTATGGCCCTAGATCTGCTTCCAAAGAACTCTGGAATATCTAGATTAATGATTATTTACTCAAAATGTTCAAATGACACTCTGACCTGTTTCTCACCAGTACCTTATTTACCCTACAATGTGTGCTTGTTGTAGATATTATTTGGAAGTCTATGATATCGACGGAACATCTGTGAATGTGTCAGCCTCGTGCTTCAATTCCACACTGACAAGTGCCTACACAAATTATGTCAAAGCAGAAGTACACAAGATCAAGGTCACTTCCAACACCAAACCGGAGAAACAGAATATCAAACCTCAAGGTTTCGTAACTGGCACATCAACATACACTGTCCAGGAGATCACTGTGGAGGAGAGCGTATCCGGGGCCGGGGGCGGGTTCCGCTTGTCCTTATACTCCACTGTTACAGGTATACATTACTGGAGCTCACTCATGGGGTTTACATTACTGGAGCTCACTCATGGGGTTTACATTACTGGGGCTCACTCATGGGGTTAACATTACTAGAGCTCACCCATGGGGTTTACATTACTGGAGCTCACCCATGGGGATTAAAACCTCAAGGTTTCGTAACTGGCACATCAACATACACTGGCCAGGAGATCACGGTGGAGGAGAGCGTATCCGGGGCCGGGGGCGGGTTCCGCTTGTCCTTATACTCCCCTGTTACAGGTATACATTACTGGAGCTCACTCATGGGGTTAACATTACTGGAGCTCCCCCATGGGGTTTACATTACTGGAGCTCCCTCATGGGGTTAACATTACTGGAGCTCACCCATGGGGTTTACATTACGTGAGCTCACTGATGGGGTTAACATTACTGGAGCTCACTCATTGGGTTTACATTACTGGAGCTCACTCATGGTGTTAACATTACTAGAGCTCACCCATGGGGTTTACATTACTGGAGCTCCCTCATGGGGTTAACATTACTGGAGCTCACTCATGGGGTTAACATTACTAGAGCTCACCCATGGGGTTTTCGTTACAGGAGCTCACTCATGAGGTTTACATTACTGTAGCTCACTCATGGGGTTTACATTACTGGAGATCACTCATGGGGTTTACATTACTGGAGCTCCCCCATGGGGTTTACATTACTGGAGCTCACTCATGATGTTTACATTACTGGAGCTCACTCATGGGGCTTACATTACTGGAGCTCACCCATGGGGATTAAAACCTCAAGGTTTCGTAACTGGCACATCAACATACACTGGCCAGGAGATCACGGTGGAGGAGAGCGTATCCGGGGCCGGGGGCGGGTTCCGCTTGTCCTTATACTCCACTGTTACAGGTATACATTACTGGAGCTCTCTCATGGGGTTTACATTACTGGATCTCACCCATGGGGTTTACATTACTGGAGCTCATTCATGGGGTTTACATTACTGGAGCTCACTAAGGTTTCGTAACTGGCACATCAACATACACTGGCCAGGAGATCACGGTGGAGGAGAGCGTATCCGGGGCCGGGGGCGGGTTGCGCTTGTCCTTATACTCCACTGTTACAGGTATACATTACTGGAGCTCACTCATGGGGTTTCCATGTCTGGAGCTTACTCATGGGGTTTACATCACTGGAGCTCACTCATGGGGTTTACCTTACTGGAGCTCACTCATGGGGTTTACATTAGTGGAGCTCACTCATGGGGTTTACATTACTTTAGCTCACTCATGGGGTCTACATTACTGGAGCTCACTCATGGGGTTTACGTTACGGGAGCTCACTCATGGGGTTTACATCACTGGAGATCACTCATGGGGTTTACATCACTGGAGCTCACTCATGGGGTTTACATCACTGGAGCTCACCCATGGGGTTTACATTACGTGAGCTCACTGATGGGGTTAACATTACTGGAGCTCACTCATGGGGTTTACGTTACGGGAGCTCACTCATGGGGTTTACATCACTGGAGCTCACTCATGGGGTTTACATCACTGGAGCTCACTCATGGGGTTTACCTTACTGGAGCTCACTCATGGGGTTTACCTTACTGGAGCTCACTCATGGGGTTTACATTACTTTAGCTCACTCATGGGGTCTACATTACTGGAGCTCACTCATGGGGTTTACGTTACGGGAGCTCACTCATGGGGTTTACATCACTGGAGCTCACTCATGGGGATTACATTACTTGAGCTCACTCATGGGGTTTACATTACTGGGGCTCACTCATGGGGTTTACATTACTGGAGATCACTCATGGGGTTTACATTACTGGAGCTCACTAAGGTTTCGTAACTGGCACATCAACATACACTGGCCAGGAGATCACGGTGGAGGAGAGCGTATCCGGGGCCGGGGGCGGGTTGCGCTTGTCCTTATACTCCACTGTTACAGGTATACATTACTGGAGCTCCCTCATGGGGTTTACATTACTAGAGCTCACCCATGGGGTTTACATTACTGGAGCTCTCTCATGGGGTTTACATTACTGGATCTCACCCATGGGGTTTACATTACTGGAGCTCATTCATGGGGTTTACATTACTGGAGCTCACTCATGGGGTTAACATTACTAGAGCTCACCCATGGGGTTTACGTTACAGGAGCTCACTCATGAGGTTTACATTACTGGAGCTCACTCATGGGGTTTACATTACTGGAGCTCACTCATGGGGTTTACATTACTGGAGCTCACCCATGGGGTTTACATTACTGGAGCTCACCCATGGGGTTTACATTACTGGAGCTCACTCATGGGGTTGACATAACTACTAGAGCTCACCCATGGGGTTTACCTTACTGGAGCTCACTCATGGGGATTACATTACTGGAGCTCACTTTTTGTTTATTTCTTGCAAAAGTTAAAACTCCTCTAAAATATCATTGATATAAAAATAATTCACCATTTTGTTACGTGTGCAGCGCAATTATAAGTCTAGGAATGACATTCTGAACCAGAGATTCCTCACTGTTCTGGTTTCACAGAAATATTTCCTCATCTCTTTTTTTTAATCAGCATTTATGTTATTTTGCTCCCATGAATCTGCCTTTACAACAAACTTTGACTCTACCTGAACTTTTATAGGTTGTCTTTCTGTCCCTTTAAATCACAATTTTCATTTCTTTACTGCAGATTTGATCAGTTTCAAAGCCAGCTCATCCGTGGTAGCCACAGCTATCAAGGACCATGCTATTTTTGAAGACGGAAATGGCGTGACTGTTACAGACGAGCCAACTAGCAGTGGTGGCATTAAATACACTGTCACCTTCAAATTAGACTGGGGTATGTATTGGTGACCTTCACCTCAAATAGGGGTTATACTGTTTCTTTGTGAGTGACCTTCACCTCAAATAGGGGTTATACTGTTTCTTTGTGGGTGACCTTCACTATCAAAAGGTTTAATATTATATACAGTCGAATCTGCTCAAGCGACCATCTGTTTTATGGGACCACTTTTCTCCCGACCGTTTTTTCTATGTAATTTAACTGTATTAATTACGTTAAACCACCCCGTTTGATACATTTTAGCGATCATGTTTGACGCAAATATTTTTAGCAAACAACTGCCACCACATTTGACGAATGGCTACTTTACGATATTTTCACCAAGTTCAGTGAACAAATTTGACAAAACCTACTTCGTAACTTAAAATAAATCAATTGATGTACAGAAAGAAAAAAAAAAGTCATTTTTCTAACTGCCGATATTGTTGATTTAGCAGTGAAATACGGACTGATATTTATTGCAGTTGAGCAAAACCATTTTGATTGCGCGAGTGTCCTGCTTTGAGGCAATGTAACCTTTAACTCTATGATATCCTGATTGGATGAGGTACACTTCTTGAAATCGGGTCTGTTTATTGATGTTCACGACAGCAATCTCGTGCAAAATTAACATTAAATATTTACACAACTGCGCACTAAACCTGTGTATGTTAGCACACATATCGTTTCTTATTCCTCATCAATATTTAAAGTCTTTAATAACATCCCTGAACTTCTCAACGCCAAAGTAACTAACGACAACAATACCGGTCAGTTTTTCGGCATCATGCTGTCGTCTTTATTTAGGTCAATTTTTTAACTTGATTCTCTTTCTAGTTTCCATCGTAAAGTAAAGGAACAATACACGTGAACCCATCTGTTGGACCAACACACGAACCACTATCATTCCAACAAAAATATCTTTCGTAACAAGTTAGCTTAAATCATGGTAATTACTTAAAACACAGTCACATAAGTTGAGAACTTCAATAAGTCTCCGGCGATCGTTTGTTCTGAGTGATCATGACAATTCTTCTCAAACACTGGACTATTGTTTATTTATTTTTTTGTGTGTTTTATTTTACTATTTTTGTGGAAAGTTGTTGCATTTCATTATTATAGTGTGTTACAGCTATCCAGTGTCCTTCACCTTGAAAATAGGTTATGTTTTTGATGTTTTTCCTGTAAAGTGTTGTACTTTATAATTTGCATGTTGCCACCATTAGCGGACAATTTGGAGACATTCAGCTAGGAGAAAAGTTATTTAACATTGTTTAAAATTCACCTTAAAGAATGTTTAAACCATGTCATAGAGTAATGTGATCTCTGAAAAGGAATTATTAGAGTAAAATCACTCAGGGTAAGAAGAGTGACCTTTCCAAAAAACATGTAGGTGGATACATATTGGGTGACCTTCACCTCTGGAGAAACATATATAGTAACCTTCACTTTTATCACTTTCACTTCTGATAAAACACAGTTAGTAACCTTCACATCAGATTACACATGATAAGTGACCTTCACCTCTGATAAATACATATTCAATGACCTTCACCTCTGATAAAACATGTTAAGTGACCTTCACTTCTGATAAATACATATTTAATGACCTTCACTCCTGATAAAACATATTTAGTGACCTTCACCTTTGATAAAACATTTAGTGACCTTCACTTCTGAAGAAACATATTTAATGCCATACACCTCTGATATGCACATTTTATTGAGAAAGGATTTTGGGTGTGTTTGACAGGGGATTTCCCGACCTTTGACATTGAGGCCTATGGTTCACTCATAGTGACGACATCCAAGAAGACAGCAGGAATTACAAGTGGTGGCTTTTTATCGCTCAGCTTTTCCGGAGTTAAAGCACCTCCTGTGGCTGTCGGTGCGTCGCCTGATGTGGTAAGAATCAGAACCATTGCGACGCCTACACTTTACCATCATTTCCCGAATATATAAATGCTCAGCATCAAAATGAATGTCATATTTAAGGCACAGAGCCTATGAAAAAATCCATGGACATCAAAAGATTCTAAGCCAGAATATGGGGAGTGTTATCTTTTACAAAAGCCGAGTATTTGAATATCATCAAGCTGTCATCAGGCGTCGAACCAAGTCCTAGTCGTACGCTCTACCGAATATTAGCTTAAGAAAATTTCTCCCTAGCCAAGTTGGTATATGAAGCGGCTGGTATTTCCCAGGGTGACATATATAAATACTAACACCAAGATTAGAAACAAATTAGTTCTATTGTGTATATTGATTCAATATAAAAGTTTATAAACACTGTCTGACTGGAAACAGACACTTTTACGACTTTGATCTACAGAGAATTTATGAGTATTCACTTGTATTTATTCTCCAGGTAAAAGTTGCTCTGGAGAGGCTTTTCAGCACACGTTGCCCATTGAAGTTATCTAAGCCGTCCAAGAAAACTCTGCATTACACTTTTGAGGAGGCCCACTCCACTCCTTCCTACAACCTCAACAAACGATATTCACAGATGGAAGCTTTCTGTGGCAGATATGTCCTTAAGAATCCAAAGGTTCTCTTTCAAAAAGAAGGCAAAACCCCAGCTCTGTCCCTGACACAGAGCCCAGTGGTAAGTCGGTCATGATTCAGTCAACAACTTATTAAATTTTTCTTATTATTCAAATTTCAAATAGAAAAACATACATACATTTCATAAAATAAGGATTGTGATGTTTTACTCTGTGCTTTGTTGAGGGGCCGCGGTGGCCAAGTAGTTAAGGCGTCTGACATTCTGCAACCACTAGCCCTCCACCACTGGGTCGCGGGTTCGAGACTTATGTGGGGCAGTCGCCAGGTACTGGCTGAAGGTAGAAGGTTTTTCTCCAGGAACTCCTGCTTTCCCCCCACCACCAAAACCTGGCACGTCCTTAAATGACCATAGCTGTTAATAGGATGTAAAACACGAACAAACTAGCTGTGCTTAGTTGCTTTATGCCCAATTGGGTATTTCTGCAACATAACTTTATATGATTTCTGTGAAGCACTTTTAGGATTATCTCTGTGTAATCATGTAACAGAGGTCATTATTTTGTCAATGTCGAGCCCAGGAGTCGAACCCGAGACCTCTAGTTTACTGGTCATGCATGTACACTCTACCAAACACCAAAGCTGAAGAGAAATTCTCCCTAGCCAAGTTGTTATATGAAGCGGCTAGTATTTTACCAGGTTGACATATATAAATACTTACACTAAGATTAAAAACAAATTTATTCTATTAATGCCTTAGGTACATTTTTGTTAACAAAGAAAAAGAGGACAGAATAGGAGGGGTTAAAACCTGTTCAATATAGGTACAATTGAGACACATTTAAGGCATATGCAGGCATATTGCCAATGTTTCATTAAAATTGAACTTCACAATATGTAAATGATGAAAACGTTTCTGTAAGCAAATTCCCCATAACTCAATGGATTTATGTTTTGGTAGTATCATATTAGGCAAGCTAGTTGAACGGTAAGTGTAAATTTAGTGAATTTAAATGATGTTCAAACACTCAATTGACCCTGACTCTGTCTGTGTTGCAGCTATGCTTTGCTCACCAAGGAGCCATTGGGACTGACATGACGATGAACTACCAATACACAGACTCCGAATCCAACACTCAAGATAAATGGGTAAAATTGAAAGACGTCATCACGTCAACAAGCACCATGGAGTAAGTATCTGAACTGATTATGACAGTTACAAATACTGAAGTTTATTTCTTCACCTGTATTTTTTTGTTTCATATGCTATATGTATTGTTGGTTTTTGTCCAGGGTTCTGATCTTTTGCAGTTATTTTTGTGGTAATTACAACTTTTCCACAAAAAATAAATGCAACTTGTGAAATTATAAGCTAGTTAATCTATTCAGACCTTAGAAAGTTCTATCATGGCCACTCTTTCGCGAAAAATAGATCTTAAAATTGACCATTTTGAACTACTGTAATTATGTTTAAGCCCTTTTCAAAAGTAGTATTCTCTCAAAAACATGTGTTGTCATGCACTTAACAGAGTACTGAGTAACAGTAATGTCCAGAATTTGAATGTTTGAAAATTTTAATAAAAAAGGACCCAAAAAAACAGCAAGTGTCAAACTTCGAACCTTTATATCACAAAGCCTTAGTGTGATCAACTACAATGCCATCCATAGGAAGTTACTCTAAACCAAAAACAAAATCCTTTTGGGTCGCTTCATGTTCTATAAGGAGGGGAGGATACTCTTAAGTAAAAATCCTCTAGTGGAACTCTTCTTTCATGCATTGGTAACTATAATGCTGTAGTACCATTTGCCTTAAGTATATGGGACATGCATGGTGGCAATATTTATTAGCCATTAAGAGGTTTTGAGGATCACGACAACAACTCACTGTTGATAGGACAGAGAGAGTGCAATGACCTTGAGCTAGATTGAAATCTGGTTAAAATCAACCTGAGATATAGAGTGATTATCATGTGGAGAGTTCTTACCTTTGCCTTGGTAGATGGGAGTACAGTTGTGTTAACGTCTTTGATGCCCTCCAAGCCAAGGTGACAGGAGGAAGTCGATTTTACCTGAAGAAAGCAGCCATTGAAGGCACTGGGGATATTTACATTGACGAAGTGTATTTGGGCAAAGAGAAGCCGACCACTGATGGTAAGTTGAATCTGTTTTGAACCCACCAAAATCCAATAATGGGCTGTTCTGGTTGCCATTCATTCATGGTACCGGTCTGAGGTCTGCCTGCAGTGGCCATCTTTGAATTGTTTTTTTTTCACTATTTCTCAAAGTGAACTGAACAAATAAAGTTTCCCTACTTTCACAGGTTGATGTAACCCATGTTGATCTACTAGTACTATATTTATAAAACTCTATATTTTAAGGACCCTATCGGCCACTGCTATGTGTAGGGTTTTGTATCTACAGTATCCTCAAACTCCCCAGAATTTCGTTTTGGATATGACTGAAGGGCAGTTGGGCCAGGTTGTAAACTCAGTCAGTTATAGAAATACCAATCTGAATTCAGTCTATGGTTCAAACCAGGGTATTATTGTCATGCTGAATGTTTACAGGTCAGAACACTGCTATTATTACATCAGTTTTGTTTATTTAATCTTTATTATTTTTCATGAAAGTCTCCCAGGCTAGAATCATTTGCTTTTTGGAAATGATTTATCAAAGCTTAATAGTCATGCTCGAAAAAGTTAATTTCCAATGCGTAGTAACAGTTGGCAACGGTACGAGAACTTTTAAGAAGTCAGTAGAATACACGATTTCACAGTATTCATTTCTTGTGTTTTTATTGTACAGGAAATATTACCATGCAACGCCTTCGACAACCCAAACTGAACGGAAAAAATCTGATCGACAATGTTGTAGTGGAAGGCAATAGCACAAGTTACGACGTCACCCTTTTTCCACAAAATTGTGGCGACAATTTCCCACTCTTCACAAGCGAACAGGTAAATTTATAGATACACAACCTGTAGGTAAATGTCAACGCAAAATTGAAGGCTCGGTGTGCAGCACCTTGTGGATTCATATGAGACAAGAAGACTAGTTTGATCCTTTGATGGACATTGGAAAAATCTTGCGGTTTCGTAACAGTAAAACTAACTGGGTGTGAAGTCAGGCATTTCTCAAAGAACAGGTATCAGCCTAGTGATTGGTCAGGTTTTCTTACCCGAGATCAATCAAATAGCTAGCTGAATGCCTTCAATTTTGCTATGACATATTCCAGGGGTCCTGTGAGCGTAACCCCTGGATATCGAGGATGGAAATCTCACTACCTAGGACGAATTCCTCCTACCAGTTGAAGAAAAATCCTTAAATTATTCACCCTGGAAATTTCATAACGAACTATTCCATGAATTAATAGATGTTCTAGAGTCATCACATGTGTGCCCACTGTTGGGCTTATATTGAGGCTTAGCATCGTCAAATCCACTGTTGTCTGTTATTAGGGCCCCGTATCGGAGATACGGGTGCCCTATAGTAATCACTCTGTCTGTCTGTCCGTCCTCAAATTTTGTTCCTGGCTGATAACTTACGTATTTATTGACGTTGTACATGAAACTTGGTCAAGATGTTCAGTTTACAAAAATACACATTGAGGTAAAAAGTCAAGGTCAAAGGTAAAGGTCATTAGGTTCAAAGGTCAAGGTCAAATTTTACATCTTTTCATTGATGAGCATTTTGTTACCACATTATGAAGTAAAGTTAATCAGAATTAAACAAGGAGTCAACTGACCAACGGTCAAGGTCATCATGTCAGGGGTCAAGGTCAAATTATTTAGCTTCACAGGTGAACATTTTGGCATGACATTATGAAGCAAAGTTGTTCTGAATTAAACAAAGAGACACACTGAGGTAAAAAGTCGAGGTCAAAGGTCAAGGTCGTTAGATTCAAAGGTCAAGGTCAAATTTTGCATCTTTTCACTGGTGAACATTTTGCTATGACACTTTGAAGCAATGTTGCTCAGAATTAAACTTGGAGTCAACTGACCAAAGGTCAAGGTCATTGGGTCAAAGGTCAAGGTTAAATTTTGTACCTTTTCACTGGTGAACATTTTGCTATGACACTTTGAAGCAATGTTGCTCAGAATTAAACATGGAATCAATTGACCAAAGGTCAAGGTCACTTGGTCAAAGATGAAGGTTAAATTTTTTACCTTTTTCTCGATGGTCATTTTCTTATGTTAGGAAGCAATGTTGTTCAGAACTTAACACAGAGTCAACTGACCTTAGGTTCAGGTGACAGGGCTCAAAGGGTCAAGGTCAAGTTTGATATTTTTTACTGATCAACATTTTGTTATGATATTAAGAAGTAAAGTTGGTCGGAATTAAAGAATAAGTCAACTGAACAAAGATCAGGGTCACTGGGTTAATGGTCAAGGTCATTTGGGTCCAACTTTGACCCTGGCTCTTGAGGGAGGAGGTATATAAGGTGAAATAAAACAAATCAAAGATAACAAATGAGTATTGCACCGGTATTTACATTTCTGTTAGCTCAGCAAATATGGAGGTGGAAGGAAACAAGACTTACATTATAGTACATGTAAATTGTATATTTTGCTTCCTTGCGATTCTTTTTGAAGTCCAAATTTCAAATGTCAAGCTCAGCTATATGGGCAGATTGCTTCTTGATGATTAAGGGGGATATATTGCCACAAGACGGGGCCCTTACTGACCTGTCGGCCAACGCTTTCTTTAACCCTTTCACACTTATGTAACTTATGTAAACTTGACTATGCGCTGATTTGGATGAGTCCATTGTGGTCTACAGTTGTGAAAGGTATAAAAAGCTTAGTGGACTAAATTTTGTCTGGAACATCTTTGGCCAAAAGGATGCAAACACCTAATAACCATATAAGTTTTTGCTTGACATGAAGAAACAAATACAGTTATGATACTGAAATTAGCTCAGGGGACTGGCCCCTTCCTGGTGCATTAGTCCTTTTGTCATATTATAGAAACAGTTGAAATTCCTCCTAATACATGTAACCCGATGAGCACAGATCTCCACATTTCCTATGAAGCATTCCTTGGTCCCTTTAGAAAAATGCAGGCCTGCGGAGTGGGCACAAAACAAGTAATTAATAGGGCATATGTATGTTTTAAAGTTTTTCCACAGAACAGTCGACCATTCTGCAAAATTGTTTGTAACTTACATCCTAACCTAGGACAAGGGAATCAAATATTGTATAAAAGAAGGGCTAGAACTGTATCCTGCAATTGCTTAAATATCTAGGTGAGCAATACAGGCCCTGCTGTTATATTTGTTGATGAGAAGACTACTAATTACATGACTTGGTGTTGTAGAAGCCAGAGGATGCTACTGTGACTGTGACACGATTACAAGGTGCCTCGCCAAAAATCGATGGGACATTTGACCTGGAGTTTCTTGGGTCGCAACGCACTAGTAAGTATATGAAGAGACCATGAATTTCAAGTATTTTCCATCGGGAAGCATTTATAATGTCATAGCATGTTTCAAATTCAGCATTTATTTTTAACAGATAAACTTAAATAAATTATCATTTGTGAAATTGGGGCAAAGCAGGTCAATCATTCTCTGCAAGTTATCTCCCTTGGTGAGGTGAAATTTTGCTGGGACATGATTCCCTGACCTACATGCACCCACCATCTTGTTAAAATGACTTTTTTTCCCTAACCACTGGTTCATATTGTTTTTGTTTAACAGAAATCCCAATCGACATTACTGCAGAAGAATTGGCAGGAGAGTTGTCAACAATTAATGGCAACGATGATGTTTCGGTCATATTCAATGGCATTTGTTCCAATTTTAACTGGACAGTTACTTACAACTCTCTGGTGGGGGACCAATCAATAATCAAGGTGAGTGATCATAGGATAACATTTTGTTGGCTAAATAACCCCTGATATTTCTTAATGAACTATTCCAACCTTTGAATTGGAAGAGTTCAAATGTGTCTTCAGGAGGGTATGAGTTAATTCCCCACAGGTAATACCAGAAAGGAGTGTAGGTTTGCATTTCATTTGTCCTTCCTTGATATGGAGTATTGCATACTATTGGATCTCATGCAAAACAATATACAGTCGAACCTCGTTATCTCGAACTCGTTTAACTCGAAGACACTGTTTAACTCGAAGTATTTCATCGGTCCCGGCCAAAACTCTTCTTAATCTTAGTAATAAAAACTCTGATAATTCGAACTCTGAAAACTCGAAAAACTTGGATATCCCGAAGTGAAACATCGGTCCCAACAACGAAAACCCTACATAAAAATATCTCCTACCTCGAAGTTTCTTAAGATTCACAAGTCTATCATATATTGTTTAATTATTTGATACGTGCTACGGTAAAACATCGTTCTCATAGAGCAGCTTACGCTCGGTCATAATAACTTCGATTAAACTCATGGCATTAAAATGTGTTTGACTGTAAAAACACTTTGTACAAATAAAGCAACAAACTTCATCAATGTTGATTAACAACAATTAGTACTTACTGCGAGCCCGTAAACAATTTGAATAACACTTTATTTACACCAAAGTTGCCGACACATTCTAACCGGAAAATGGGTCACAGTTTGCGGTCATGCGTAAATAAGCTCCACAGTAAAAATCACAACCTAGGACTGGTTCGTTGGTTTAATGTTTTTATAGGAGCTTGTATGGCCCTGATAATTAATTGAGAGATTGAACAACACGATAATTATTGTTGAGTACGTCGTGTTGAGGAGATGTCAAGTGTCATTGCGGTCTATAAATGTGGATATGTTTCCTGATTAACTCATACCCATTTCGGAATGTCGAAATCAACTGAGCAATCCAGCGTGTACGTTCCAATACAGTGATTTGTATAAAGACTTGCGCACTTTCATTTCCGCATTGAAATTTCTATCAGCATAGCACGAGGTCGGAGACAGCATGTGTGTTAATTGTAACATTAATTAATGAATATGATTATGAATAAGTTGTTATTTGTTATTTTATAGTTATCTTTTTGTCATTTATAGACTGTTTAAATACGTTGATTGTCAGAGAAATCAATGACATATATAGCCTCATATTGGACCAAACACTTTACCAAGCTTTATGCCAAACATAGGAACTCGCTTAACTCGGATACTCGGATAACTCGAAGTTTCCCAACGATCCCGTCGACTTCGAGATAACGAGGTTCGACTGTATACAGAGTTTTGGGCCTTTCTTCACTGTGTGTGAAAAATTTGTTCTGGGCATATTGCATAATTATATTCTGTCACCAGCTTTTGCATGCAAATGCCTGTTGTGATGTACATGTATTGCATACTAAACTTAGAATTGTCTCCCCAAGATATGCAGAGTTAAGGCCCTTTTTTGCTTTTATTTTTACTCTTATATTTTTGTATGGAGCATATTTCATGAACCCAGATGCCACCTACAATGACCAAATTTCACAAGCGAGTACCTCTTGTGATGATAGAATGTTTCATAATGAAATAGGATTTCAAGTCACACTATATATAACAAATTCTTTCAACAGAGATCCATAATGGGTAAAGTAATGGTATTTATATCCTATTTAAATAGATTTTGCCTTGAACTCTTTTGTGTTTATACTTCAGTTGGATCCTGCCTTAACTGGTGATCAGGTTTCCATGACAGCCAGCACTGAGGTTAATGGCCATGTGCTTTGGGGCCCCATACCAGGAGAATTCTTGAGTGCTCCACATGATAAGCCACAGGTACTTCATTGCCACTGTCTGTACTAGTTGATGACTATCGGTCTTAACGACCACCTTTAGTCAGTCCTAACTAATTATTCTGTATAATTGAACTATTAACGCATTCACCCCTGAGATTTCAAAATGGAAGATTCCAACTTTTGAATTGGAAGAGTTCAAGTGTGTCTTCAGGGGTGGATGAGTTAAAGGACAACCTGTCTATATCTGTTCCAATCCCAGCCTTCCAGTCAGCTGCTGTAGCTACCAGTATTGAGCTAAATTTCCTATATATACATAATGTTATAACTATATAATACAATAATTTTAAGCAAACAACTTTATACTGGGAACATAACAAATCTCATGTTTAAACTCAAGCACACTATTTATATGTATATAGACAGATGGTCATTAAATGTATTAGTTTTCTAACTCAAGATAATTTGATATTGGGAAACCATTAAATATCCTCTATGTATTTGTCAAAAACTGATAAGCTAGTTACATTTACATACAAAATGTGTCTATCTGTCGCGGCAAATCCTTTAAACCGGTCAGGTTAAACAAGGGAGGTAACTCCTGTTAATTAGTAGAGGAAAAAAGAGGAAATAAATTCCTTGAAATCAGTGGATTTAAAAGAAGGGAAGCAACTCCGTAAAATTAGTTGAGGATAAAGTTGGAAAGTATATCCTGTAAATACACGGAGTAAAAAGGGGGGAGCAACTCCAAAAATTAAAAGCAGAATGAAAGTTAGAATCCTCTTTACTTACAAGAAATGCTAATTAAGATATTTCTGATCCTGTTATTCAAGGTAAAAATAATTTCTATTACAGGTAACGACGTTGACCAATGGCATACCGACCAGGTGTTCCGGTACCTGTGACTTTGAATGGCTGGCAAGTAGAACCCCTACAGTAACAAACATATCACCTGGTACAGGTGAGTCTTCTGTTTCGTGGGAAGTTGTTACAAACCATGAAAAAGTCTTAACTCTAAGTTGGCTCCAGGCTTTAAAATAAATTGACTCACCAGCCTACATGTTCTGTCAGCCATACATTCTTATAGGTCTAAAGAATTTAACAACATTTGAAACAATGGCGTGCTTGAGTATTACGATTGAGTTTTAACTTCCAGTGTCAGGGCAACCTTTGAGATCTAGAGGACCACTTTTGAAATATTTCTTTCTTAAAAAAAGAAGACTTGTAATTCTTTGCCAGAAGGAATCCTGGATATTTTCATTAAGTCATTCACCCCTGAAATTTCAGAATGAACAATTCCAACCTTTGAATTGGAAGAGTTTAAATGTGTCTTCAGGGGTGAATGAGTTATAAGTGTTTAGAAATGCTGTTGACCTAACAACCCTACATTGTAATTGTATCTTTGAAATACTTATAAATCAATAACGTCTTACTTTTTTGTACAAGCAACCAAGGACATGAACATTTTGGAAATTTGGTCTGTGTTCAGCTCATTGTAAAACATTTTTTTTGGAATGTAACATATATATTCTTAAAATAGAATGGATACATTCTCCAAAGTTTCAATTTTTAAATGTGCTGAATTGAGATTGATAAAGTCTATATCAGCGGCACTCTGCTTGTTGCTTGTGTGCAGTCCTTATAATCAAGGTAGCAAGTGGATCATGATCAAGTCTTGTGGAAGATGCTTTGAATAGAAATTATATTATCTGTTTAAAGATTTGTTTGTGGGTTTTTTATGTCCTATTAACAGCTATGATCATTTAAGGACATACCAGGTTTTGGTATTACGTTAAAGGTCAAGGTCAATGCAAGGGGTAAGGGGAGGTAAAGCTTTCTTAACATCACTTTTTCTTTATTACCAAGATGATCTGATTAATTGTTTGTTGTTTTTCTTAGGACAATCTGGTACAGTCGCTACAATCACCGGGACTGGTTTCAGTGCAACTTCCGCGGACAACTCTGTGATGTTAGGAGGTGTGGCCTGTGAAGTGACCAGTTCCACATCCACTTCCATCTCGTGTACGCTCGGTAGCACCCCCGCAGGCACTCACATGGTTGGCGTCAACGTTGCAGGCTTTGGCTTGGCACATGGCAGTGACGTCAATTTCATCTGCTCTGCAGGCATCATCAGTTTTCTACCTGCTTCAAGTACTTTAGGGGGTACGTAAAGGCATCACAGTTTTGTAACTATCTCTGATAGTTTTCAGGGATGAAAGGCATCCAAGATGACTTTTTAAACTCCCTTTGTTAGTTTAGGGGGTATGTAACGGCATCAACAGTTCTTCACCTGACTTTAGTACTTTAGGGGGTACATAAAGGCATCAAAGTTGATTAGACTCTACCACACATTGATATGGTTGAGTCCATTTTGGTTTACAGTGGTGAAAGGGTAAAGAGTAGCACCGGGGGGTGATACAGGGGGGTGATACAGGCATGAAAAGGGTCTCACCTACTGTGGTTCACTGGTATACCTAACAGCTAGTCTACAGTAATTCTATTTACAATTTCATTTTAAGTACAAGTAGCTTGGGTGGTACTAGGTATGTGTATGATAAATACAGTGAAACCTAACACAATGTCAAAGGGATAATGTGTAGATTCTTTGCTCTGTCATGATAGAAAGGGAAAGGGGATGTACGGGTGGCACAGTCAGTGGATAGCGCATTGGCTTTCACCAAGGTGGCCTGGGTTCGATTACCTGATCGGACGTGAAAAGGTATGGGGTAACCTGCCCGACCACGTGGGGTTTCTCCGGGTACTCCAGTTTCCTCCCACAGTAAGACACACACACACACCCCTTCCCGTGCTAACATTCGGGCCAACAAGTGTGATTGGTATCAGTTGTAAAAACTTGTTTCATAATTGTTGTTTAATAAATAAAGTTTATATAACTATAAAGGAAGGGAAAACTTACATTTCAAAGTCTCACCCTATTGATGCCACATGAGGAATAATCTCCTTACATTTAACTATGTTTCTCTGTTTTATCAAGTTATACTGTATCCCACTGCATACTTGCATGAATTGATCAAAGTGATATTGGTTTAAAGGCTAACTGCAGAATCAGCAGTTTTCATAGAAATCAAAAAGACTGGAGGACTGCTTCATATTGCACAGTTTGTGCATTCAATAAATTTACAGCCTCATGCATTGGTTAGATCATTTAGAAGTTGACATTTTGTGAGATTGACCTGGTGTCATTAGTTTTAGAAACTGCAGGCCATTATTCCGTTATGATGTCGTAACTTCAATTACACTCTACCAAATTTAATAAGATATAATCTTTCCTTAGATTTTTTTATCTAAATTGTTCCATCTTGTTTAAGGGTAAAAGAAAGTTGTACACTTTATATCAAATATTATAATTAAGGACTTTTGTTTCATTGAATATGTTGTATGAACCTCAAAGTTAATAATAACAGAGACAATATCAAGGTCTATATCTTTTCTCAGGTTCATATAACCAGATATTGACCTCAAAAAAGTCCATAATTGGTCAATATTATTCAGAATTGATAATTGGCTTCAATAATTTATTTTCCCTGTAACAGGTGGTGTGAACCTGACCCTGACTGGACACGGCTTTAGGAATGATGCCATGGTTACTGTGGGTGGTCAACCCTGTCCTGTCATCTCCAACTCCCCAGGCCAGCTAGTCTGCGTCATACCACCGAGGGTCAGTACTTTACAAAACGGTCATTCTGTTGTGATAATGGAAAAACGTACAAGATATTCATGTAATCAGGAAAAATATAACATCCTGGCAATCTTTTTGCATTACATACGATTCCAGTGTTCTGATGCCATGGAACTTTGTATATCGCATATAATTGGGTTGACTCCGTCAACTTTTCATTTGAAATCTGTTAGCCAGGGTGGTAGATTTTTGGATCAGAAAATCAAGGGAGCTTTAATGTAATTTAGAGACGGAATCCAAAATCTGGGAATTGGGAAAATTTTGCAACATTACTTGATTTATGAGAATATTTTAAATTTTACTGATGATTGCTCTAGGTGTGCTATACAGGCTCTCTGGGTCTCTTGTTTAATGAAAATAAGGTTCACATACAGTAACAGAAAATATATCATTTCCATACGTTATAATTGTGGTAAAATGGATTAGATTAAATGTAAAATTGGGGAATTAGCTAGCTAATTTTTTCCCCTGAGGAAAAACTATCTAGTTGGGAAAGGATCAAGCTANGGGGAGGGGGCTAGCTGTTACACCAGGTCGAGTGACATATGATATATACAATTTCATCCTATCGTTGTACAGGTAAACAATAAACAATACAAATCACTCACTCAGTCATGGCTTGACAAATGGGGCAGTCAGTCTTGAAACGTTGCGACACATTTTATATATACAATGTTTGTGTATAAAGTAAAACTTTGAAATGACATATTTCCAAATTGATGATTCTAATTGAAGATTTCAGGAGCCATAATGATTTATGTTGGGGGTTGGCTTAGAATTCAAGTGTTGGTAAGGTCAGGTTTTAAGTAACTATAGCTACCGATTGTTGTGGATTTTTTTTCGTTTCATATTTTACCGCTATTTTTGCAGACATCAGCAGGTTCTGTGACCGTTGTGCTGGCCATGACCGGTGTTGCCACTATCACAGCCTCCGACTCCTTTACGTACGACTCCGCCATCACAGGACAGATATCTTCCATCAGTCATGCCACTTCAAGTGTCAAAGGTCAGTGAATTTAGGTCAAAGTTAATTGCATGTGATTTTAAAATGTTTAAAGGAGCACAAGCTGTTCTGAAAATTGAATTATTTTTCAAAGCATTTGTGATACGCTTTTGCATCTATTTATAGCTCACCTGGGGCATAGGACCAATAAGCATATGCTGTGTTGTGGCATCTGTCCAATAATTGTCCTTGATCTGTCTATCAATATTTTTCTTTTAAAACCTGCTACTCTTTAACAACTGATCAGAGAAGGGTGTGGCCATCGCTAAGGGTTAAGGAGCAGGGCAAATTTCAGCAAAACTGAGTGATTTCAGATTTATAAAAGCCTACAATTTTTAATGAAATATTTAGGCTCTTGAGGGCTGAAGGGTATGTCGTACAACAGTGTAAAAATGTATACACAGTCAACATCGTAAGGCTTAATAATAAAATAATTACAGTACTTGTTCTACCAGGATTGGCTCAGAGGTTCAGCCCTGCAACAGGGCATTAGAATTAGTCATCACCTGATTTAGTCATTACAAAGAAGCAGTTAAGTTCCTCATCCCATAACAATGTATTAATTTCCTGGACATGAACACACTTGCACTACCAGGATTAGCTCAGGGGTATGGCCTCATTCTTGGGGACTTAATCCTAGGGTCATAACACAGGCCTTACAAATATGAAAACCTAGTCCAATCCAATCTGTAAATTCATGTATCATGAAATGATTTTACTTTTAATATTTTTTTATTTTTTTGTTTTGTTTTTTGAAACCACAAAATTTGCGAACAACTAGAAAATACCAGAGTTTGATTAAAATTAGTAGTGTAAATATCATTATCATGAAAACAATCTTTAACACAGATTTATCTCCCTTGTTGTTACGTGACACCAGGTGGAGAAGTGATAACAATTACCGGCTCCGGATTTGGTAGCTCTGGGTCGCTGATCATCGGAAGCACAGTTGTCTCCCCTGTGACATTCACGGACACCATGGTGTCGGGCCCCCTGCCCTCACTCAGTACTGGAGGACACGCTGTCAAGGTGTTGAAAGTGACCGGTGCTGCTGTTCTCAGCAGGTAACTATAGCAGCTAATAATGTCTGGGTTATGGTATATGTAGATATATGCAGATCATTCTGTCATACCGGGAAGTTTTCATACAGTTTCATTTTCACCTTTTAAATCCTCCTTCATGATTGATGGTGAACTTATCATAACAGCAAACGTTGATAACAACATAATGAGTGTAGTAAATTAACTGGGATAGTGCAATTACGAGGCAAAAATTGATTGCATGGGCAAATAGTGAAAGTTTGCTTGGGCAAAAATTTCATGGTAATTTGCAGCATCTCCAACAGGGAAGAGTTCCATTTTTCTGACTTTAAATTTGCTCGCCCGTATGTTTATTATAAGCAAGGAAATCTTGTCAAGGAAAGAAATGCATTTATTTTCATTTCTTTTCATCTCCAATCGCATCTCTTCTACAGAAATTTGATCACCAGACCTAGCTCATAACTAAAGTGTGTATTTTTTTCACTAGTCAATACCAGACAACCTATATATGTTATAATATTTCTGCATTTCTTACGTAACTAAAAATAATTTCAAAATGTTCAAACTCCCAAAAAGTGTTCATGTGAATTTATCGTAAAAAATTGTCTTTGTATGAGTATTGATGAGAAGAGAAGCTTCAAAATGACCCTGATCAAATTGCTTTCCCAGCTCTATAAATGTAATTTATTCTGGTAATGCTGATAGCTAGGATCTTGCAGTAAAAATGTAAATATAGAAAAATAGTATTTCGGGTCTTGGTGATCGTAGAAAAATGCTTCTTTTAAAATATAACCCTTTAGGGCAGGGTTCAAGGGACATTTGTAGGTAGGGCAAGCTTTTTAGAAAGCATAACGTGAGAAAACACTTTTCTAATCTCCCTCTTAAGGATCTGAGTCTTCCCTGATGACTGTGGCCTGTGGCTGTTGTTAGGTCTACTTAACTGTTTAGTTATATTAACTGGTTCACCCCTGAAATTTCATAGTGAACTATTCCAACCTTTGAACTGGAGGAGTTCAAATGTGTCTTCAGGGGTAAATGAGTTAGGCCACCAAGTCATATTACATTTCACTGTACAATTTTCGGGCTGCAACAATACATAAACATGACGATACGATAGTATCACGATACGATAATTTCACGATACTGTGGTCACGATACGATAGTATCACGATACTGTGGTCACGAAACGATAGTAGCACGATACTGTGGTCACAATACGATAGTATCACGATACTGTGGTCACAATACGATAGTATCATGATACTGTGGTCACAATACGATATTATCACGATACTGTGGTCACGATAAGAGAGTGTCACGATACTGTGGTCACGATAAGAGAGTGTCACGATACTGTGGTCACGATCCGATAGTGTCACGATACTGTGGTCATGAATACATAAACATGACGATACGATAGTATCACGATACGATAGTGTCCCGATACTGTGGTCACGATACGATAGGATCACGATACTGTGGTCACGATACGGTGGTCACGATACGATAGTGTCACGATCCTGTGGTCACGATACTGTGGTCACGAAACGATAGTATCACGATACTGTGGTCACGATACTGTGGTCACGATACGATAGTATCACGATACGATAGTGTCACGATACTGTGGTCACGATACGATAGTGTCACGATACTGTGGTCATGATACGATACTGTGGTCACGATACTGTGGTCACAATACGCTAGTATCACGATACGATAGTGTCACGATACTGTGGTCATAATAAGATAGTGTCACGATACTATGGTCACGATACGATAGTATCACGATACTGTGGTCACGAAACGATAGAATCACGATACTGTGGTCACGATACTGTGGTCACAATACGATAGTGTCATGATACTGTGGTCACGATACGATAGTGTCACGATACTGGGGTCACGATCCGATAGTGTCACGATACTGTGGTCACGATATGATAGTATCACGATACTGTGGTCACAATACGATAGTGTCATGATACTGTGGTCACGATACGATAGTGTCAAGATACTGTGGTCACGATACGATAGTGTCAAGATACTGTGGTCACGATACGATAGTATCATCATTCATGTAGTAACACTGTAGAAGCAATGAGGCAAGATATGTTGCAATTTTGTAATGGCAATATTACAACTTAAACTGGACTTGGTTCAAAATGGACATGACTTTTAAGGTTTCACACAATTCACGTCTTTCGACGGGCATGCTGAGCTGGAGTTGTCACTCGTCATGATGGATTTGATATGAGTAGATTAAATTCAGAAACGACAAAATCCTGAAAATATTGTATAGGTATAGTGTTATACGTTATACAATACCTATACAATATAACCCTCCCAAAAATATTGTGTACCAGACTGTATTTAAAATATCGCAATATATACCCGGAAAACCCCCGGAAGCCAGTGGCAGAGATAGGGCTGGTGATCATAGACAGTCAGATGCCTCAAACCACTTTTGAGGATTTAAATTTGTACAATTGGAGGGGCTGACCCCCCAAGGGGCTGAGGGGCAGGGCCAGAAGTGGGTAATTTGGCCATATTGCTTGAAGTGACTTCTTCTCTAAAATACTGTGGTCACGATACGATAGTATCATCATTCATGTAGTAACACTGTAGTAGCAATGAGGAAAGATATGTTGCAATTTTGTAATGGCAATATTACAACTTAAACTGGACTTGGTTCAAAATGGACATGACTTTTAAAGTTTCACACAATTCACGTCTTTCGACGGGCATGCTGAGCTGGAGTTGTCACTCGGCATGATGGATTTGATATGAGTAGATTAAATTCAGAAACGACAAAATCCTGAAAATATTGTATAGGTATAGTGTTATACGTTATACAATACCTATACAATATAACCCTCCCAAAAATATTGTGTACCAGACTGTATTTAAAATATCGCAATATATACCCGGAAAAACCCCGGAAGCCAGTAGCAGAGATAGGGCTGGTGATCATAGACAGTCAGATGCCTCAAACGACTTTTGAGGATTTAATTTGTACAATTGGAGGGGCTGACCCCCCAAGGGGCTGAGGGGCAGGGCCAGAAGTGGGTAATTTGGCCATATTGCTTGAAGTGACTTCTTCTCTAAAACTGCGAGATGGATATTAACTGAATTTATTGGAAGTATTCTTAGGTGGTGGATATTCAAAATTGTACAAATGGAAGGGCTGAGGGGGTTGTGCCACAAAGGGGGAATTCGGCGGGTCTATTATCTGTGGTCACGATACAATAGTGTCACGATACTGTGGTCACGATAAGATAGTAGCACGATACTGTGGTCACGATATGATAGTGTCACGATACTGTGGTCGTGATACTATCGTATCGTGACCCCAGTATCGTGACACTATCTTATCGTGACCACAGTATCTTGATACTATCGTATCTTGACCACAGTATCGTATCGTGACCATAGTATCGTGACACTATTGTATCGTGAACACAGTATCGTGACACTATCTTATCATGAACACAGTATCGTGACACTAGACGTGAATTATGTGAAACTTTAAAAGTCATGTCCATTTTGAACCAAGTCCATTTTAAGTTGTAATATTGCCATTACAAAATTGCAACATATCTTTCCTCATTGTTTCTACAGTGTTACTACATCGTTTCTGAATTTAATCTACTCATATCACATCCATGTAGTAACACTGTCGAAGCAATGAGGAAAGATATGTTGCAATTTTGTAATGGCAATATTACAACTTAAAATGGACTTGGATCAAAATGGACATGACTTTTAAAGTTTCACATAATTCACGTCTTTCGACAGCCATGCTGAGCTGGAGTTGTCACTCGTCATGATGGATGTGATATGAGTAGATTAAATTCTGAAACGACAAAATCCTGAAAATATTGTATAGGTATTGTGTTATACAATACCTATACAATATAACCCTCCCAAAAATATTGTTTACCAGACTGTATTTAAAATATCGCAATATATAGTCGCACAATATATCGTTGAAGCCTTTCTATACATATAGAGCTAACAACACTGGTATATTTTGTAAATTGCTCATCACCCCCTATAATATTACGGTCGAGGTCACAAATTGATTTTCTGTATGTTTCATTTCTGTTTGGTGACAGCTATAGTTACCTCTATTCTATTTGACAGCACTGTGCCTACAATCCAATACATCCTTAAGGTGGAGAGTGTGTACCCACGTCGGGGCTCGCTTTACGGGGGAACAAATGTCACCATCACCGGCCAGGGCTTAGACGCTGAAGCCGACGTCAAGGTCGGGGGTCACTGCTGTGATGTGGACGCTGCTACGGCAACGGCGACCCAGATAGTGTGTACAATCTGTTACACAGGGAGGACCCACCAGATTGACAACAGCGGTTCAGATCCTGGTAAGGACGTTGTTCATTAATGAGAAGTGAGTAATGAGAGAGACATTACTGAGACAAACATTGATTTCATCAGTTGGTTTGGTCTGTTTCTGCTTTATGTCCTATAATTAATAGCTATGGTCGTTTAAGGATGTGCCAGACTTTGGTAGGGGTGCTGGGAAACCAGAGTACCCGGAAAAACCCCGGAAGCCAGTGGCAGAGATAGGGCTGGTGATCATAGACAGTCAGATGCCTCAAACCACTTTTGAGGATTTAAATTTGTACAATTGGAGGGGCTGACCCCCCAAGGGGCTGAGGGGCAGGGCCAGAAGTGGGTAATTTGGCCATATTGCTTGAAGTGACTTCTTCTCTAAAACTGCCAGATGGATATTAACTGAATTTATTGGAAGTATTCTTATGTGGTGGATATTCAATATTGTACAAATGGAGGGGCTGATGGGAGGGGGGGCAAAAAGGGGGAATTCGGCCATTCTATTATCAGCATTCTTAGGTTAATATATTAGGCCATATTGATTTAAGTGGGTTCCTCTTTGGAAATCAGGTAGGAAATCAGTAATATTTGGTTGAAAGGTTTTTTAGGTGATGGGGATTAAAATTTTACAAATGGAGGGGCTGACCTCCCAGGTGGCAGCAAGGCGGGGGGAAATGGGTAATTTGGCAATATTGCTGCAAGTGACTTCTTCTCTGGAACAAAGGGTTGGATATCAATGATATTTGCTATCAGTTTGTGAGACTTCAAAATTAATCAGTTGAAGGGCTGACCTCCTGGGGAATTGAGGGAAAGCGGAAAAAAGTGTTTTTAACTTGAAAATGAAGAATAATGACCTATGGAGACTTGGTCATAACTTATGAACAGTTGAGATCCCCAGTACCTCATAACCATGTATAAAATTGCAAAGCACAAAGTGTCAGATACAATAATGTTACAAAAGATAACCCTGGGGTTTGGACACACCCCTAGGGACTTGTTCCTTGGGCATAACTTTGAAATTATTGAGATCCTGACCATTCAGCAATATAAACAATTGCTGGGCATGTGCTTTAGAGAGACAAATACAGGCATGGTTTAAGAATTGACCTGTAGGGTCTGCCAACACCCTTTGGGACTTAATCCAATGGGTCATACCATGGAAACCTTTGAGATTCCCACCCTATCAAAATATATACAGGCCCGTGGGCCTCTTGTTGGATAATCTAGTCCTTATTTGTTTTCACTAGGTTTTTGAAATACAAATTTGAAAAGCCTGCTGAAAAATATTCAATTTTCATACTTATGTCAAAACTTTTAAGACTCTGCAGAGCCTGTAGTGGTATTGAAAATTACAGGTTGTTTCAAAACTTTTGTACCAAGACCCTAATTTTAATCTTATCTAAAAAAATTACTTGCTTTGCAGTATATGGCACTGGTTATAGCTGGAATCCTAAGAACCTCGTTGTGAATATTGGAGACGAGGTACGGTGGCGCTGGGATGTTCCCCAACTTGTTGGAACGAGTCTCAAGGTAGAACAGGTTCGAAATGCTACCTCTAAGGACGCCGTGCCTTATGGTTTCAGCAGTGGTCCCGCTGGCCTTCCTTCAGGTACGAGGTCATCAAGTTAGTCTACAGAACAACAATAACACGACAGTCTATGAGGAAAATGCATTAGTTCACAGAAAATCTATGTTAGAGCACAGAATCTAAATGCTGATGTAACAGTGACATGTTAGGATTTAATCACACAGTCATATAATCTGTAAAATAATCAACATTCTGTACAATAATTCTTGTATTTTGTACACTGATTTATTTATTCTTTAAAATAATTAACATATTCTTTAGATAATTCATGTTCTGCACAATATCTCACATATTTTGTACAATGATTCACGTTTAATGATTCACGTATTTTGTATTATAAATGATTCACATACTTTTTACAAAGATTCACATATTTTTACAATGTTTCACATACTTTTTTACAATGATTCACATATTTTGACAGTGATTCACATTTTGCTATAATGATTCACATATTTTGTATTATGAATGATTCACACATTTTGTATTACAAATGATTCACATATTTTTAAAATGACTCACATATTCTGACAGGTTGGTATGACTACAGCTTTAACGCACCTGGCAGGAAGTACTACTGGAGTGGCCCTCTGAACAGTCACACAAATAATTCAGTTAGAGGATCAATCAACGTGGAACGTTTGGAGTCATATGTTGGTGACGTGAGTGTCCACATCTCTGGCAAAGAAGCTGATTATGATATAACTTCAGGTAAGAAATCACACAATTAGAAGGTCAGACGATTGTCGTGGTCTAATCATAAATGTCTGGTGAGGTAGAAATCAAACTAACAGTTTATATTGCAACATGCACATTTGTCATATGTGTGTTAAGTTTCAACACATACACCCCTATAAAGACACATTTGAACTCTTACAATTCAAAGGTTGGAATAGTTCATCATGAAATTTCAGGGGTGAACAGGTTAAGTGTTGAATTGTCCTCACAATCTAATACATCCTGTTGATCATAGTTTCAGGTCTTTGTTTGTTGCCATCAGCAAATGGTTTCTGCTCTTCAACAACATCTTCTCAAGAACCATACCACCTAGGATCATGATATTTTACATGAGGCTTACAGGGATCAATCGATTCGTTTAAATATTATGACCACAAAAAGTAAGGCAAGGTCTTTAAAGTCAAATATATGTACATTGACAATTGTTAGAATTGTGATCAGTAGATGTTTAATAGGGGTTTGAAAAGTTTCTTAGTTAAGTCAAAGGTTGCCTTTAGTAAAAAAAACAAAACAAAAAAAACAGTGGAGGATACATTGTTCTTATCTCAGAATCCCAAAAACTGATATTTTTGAAATTGAAAATGATGATACAGGTGGTATGTAGATCTGCAATTGAGGCTTAAATAATGTCTAAATGTCACTGTGACTAAAATTAGACCTGTCAGGCACATGGTGGGGCCCTTTTTTTCTGACCCTCAGTGTTGTGTTCTAGTTGTACGTTTATCATGTACATCAGACACACGGTGGGGCCCTTTCTGACCCCTCAGTGTTGTGTTCTAGTTGTACGTTTATCATGTACATCAGACACACGGTGGGGCCCTTTCTGACCCCTCAGTGTTGTGTTCTAGTTGTACGTTTATCATGTACATCAGACACACGGTGGGGCCCTTTCTGACCCCTCAGTGTTGTGTTCTAGTTGTACGTTTATCATGTACATCAGACACACGGTGGGGCCCTTTCTGACCCCTCAGTGTTGTGTTCTAGTTGTACGTTTATCATGTACATTATCAATGTCCATGATATAAATATCATAAATATATATAAATACTGACATAATGATAAAACTGCATATGTTTAAGGTTACCTGTACAACTGCAAAAAATTGTAACAAAGTATAAGAATTTGTTTTTTTCCGGCATGGCTATAGCTTTGATAAATCTGAAAAGAAAACCACACCTCTCGACACTTTCTGAATTGATAATAAAGATGACATCAAGAAAAGATGATGAACAATAGTGTTGTTCTGAATGTAAAACTTTAGCAGAGTGAGATCAGGATTCCATTAAACTCTGGACTTCAGACTATTGTTCTATCATTCTTTCCAACTGAGCTACCTAGTCAACGGGCCCAATTGTGTAACAGTGATATCTAAACAGAAGTTAAGTGGAGGTTATTGTATATACGAAAAACCAAAGTGCAGTGGGACATGGATCCTTAATTGTATTTAATGGGACAGGGATCCTTAATTGTTATTTATGGGATATGGATCCTTAATTGTATTTAATGAGACATGGATCCTTAATTGTATTTTTATGGGACAGGGATCCTTAATTGTATTTTAAGGGACAGGGATCCTTGATTGTATTTTATGGGACAGGGATCCTTAATTGTATTTTTAATGGGACAGGGATCCTTAATTGTATTTGATATAATCATGAATATCTACCTGTGTCATTAGGTGTGAGCGACCCCCCAGGACCATGTCAAGGGAGCCTCTGTACTATCTCTGGCTGTGAAGATCCCGAACCTACTGGTGGAGATCCTACCAATTTCCGGTTCAAATTTTGGTCATGTCAAACGCCAAACATTACAGCCATCACTCCTAATCAAGGCACAGCAAATGAAAACATTGTGATAACTGGTAATGGGTTTTCCTCCACAAGGAGTGAAAACAAGGTCATGTTTGGTGAAGCTTCCTGCATTGTTTCTGAGTTCTCAACAACAGAGCTGAAATGTAAGCTGGACTCGACCACCAGTCCCCCTATCAGCGTAAGACTGTTTCCTGATGTTATAGTGGAAAACATGGGAAGCGCCATACCGATACTGGAAGAGAAGAATAGGACATTTACTCTTGTTCCTGTTGTTTCCTCTTTTTCACCTATATTGGGGTCCCTGGAAGGAAACACGCAACTGACCATCGTCGGCGCGGGATTCCAGGGAAGCCACCCAGATGAGGATGTCACAGTGACAATTGGGAGTAACTCTTGTCCAATCACCCAGCTTTCCTACACATCCATTGTTTGTTCTGCTCCAAAGTCCAACTCTGACGGTCCCAAGGCAGTAGAGGTCAAGGTCAAAGCCGTTGGTCAGATGGTGACCGCGGAATGCGATGCCAACCCATGTGATTTTAACTATGATCTTGGGTCGACTGCTAGTGTGGCTTCAGTATCGCCAACATCGGTGGATGGTTCGTCAACAACATTGACGATCACCGGAAAGAGGATGGGAGGTTCAACCAGTGACGTGAGTGTGACTGTCGGAGGTGAAGTCTGCACCGTGACTGACGCTGACACCACCATCGTCAAATGTACAATCTCTGCCGTACCAGTTGGGGCCCAGCCATTGGTACTAGATGTTGCACAGAAAGGACGCGCCAAACATGACCCATCTCCTGTGACTGTCACCAGTCAGTCTGTCATTAGCTCTGTCAGTCCTGTGGTAGGCAGTACCAATGGTGGCACTGTCGTCACCATTCTAGGTAATGGATTTACTGATAATACCCGCGTCACCATAGATAGTATCGATTGCCCTGTAGCCTCTGTCTCACTCTCAAAGATCGTGTTCACAACAGCAGCGCATTCTGCCGCCAATGACCTTGATCTCATTGTCGCCTCCGGAGGCACAACCTACGCTGCTGAGAAATTCAGTTTCACTGTTGGGGCTACCCCAGTGATATCATCTGTATCGCCGACATCTGGATCTTCAGGAGACACTGTCACACTCAGTGGTACAAATTTTGGGGCGACCATAGCCGACAACGCTGTCACACTAGGTGGGAGGGCGTGTACATTGACATCGGCCACGACGACTGAGATTGTGTGCACTGTTGGGGACTACAGGGCCGGTACCTATGAACTACTTGTTAATGTCACAGGCAGAGGACTCTCGAATAACGACAAGATGTTTACCTCTGATATGACTGCTTCCAGCATCCTTCCAAACACAGGTAAGTCAATTGACAATATGTTGACAGTAACTGGTTCTTTTTACGCGATTTGACCTTTTTCAGCTCTTAGTATAAACAACTTTTTTTAATTCTAATAAAGAAAAAAACAAATTAAACTCTACACACAACAGTGCTCTGTAATTCCATCGCCAAATCACTTCACCCAATCAGAAGTCAGAATTCAAATACTGCACCAAACAGTATAATAAGTGTACAACTTCATCAGTCTGTTCCTTGTCTATTTTGTTTAGGTAATACCTGAAAAAGTCTATTTTGTTTAGTAATACCTGAAAGTCTTTTTTGTTTAGGTAATACCTGAAAGTCTTTTTTGTTTAGGTAATACCTGAAAGTCTCTTTTGTTTAGTAATACCTGAAAAAGTCTATTTTGTTTAGGTAATACCTAAAAGTCTCTCTTGTTTAGGTAATACCTGAAAGTCTATTTGTTTAGGTAATACCTGAAAGTCTCTCTTGTTTAGGTAATACCTGAAAGTCTCTTTTGTTTAGGTAATACCTGAAAGTCTCTCTTGTTTAGGTAATACCTGAAAGTCTCTCTTGTTTAGGTAATACCTGAAAGTCT